TAGGACAGATTGTAGAATCCAGAAATAGATCCACATATATACCATCAATTAAGTTTTTATGTCAGAGCTAAGGTAATTTAATGGGGAAAGGAAAATCTTTGTTTTTGTTTTTTGTTTTTTTGGGGGGCGGTTTTTAGGTGCCAGAATAACTGGGTATCCATATGGGGGAAAAAATGAGTCTTGACCCCACCTTACAGCATACTCCCAAATTAGTCCACTATAAATCAGAGACCTTAAGTTAAAAGCTAAAACCATAAAGCTTCATAAAGAAACAGAAGAATATCATCCCTAATTTGAGATAGACAAGGATTTCTTAGAAAAGACAGAAAACACTAGCCATAAGAGAAAAATTTAATAAATGAGATCTTATAAAAATTAAAACTTTTCTTCAGTAGAGAGACCATGAAAAAAAGTCAATAGGCAAGCCATACACTAGAAGGAAGTATTTGCTCATACAATCTGACAAAGAATCCAGCATATATAAAGGACTCCCACAACTCAATAAAAAGAAGACAATCACCTGTAACTAACAGCCCAAAGACTTAAACAGCCACTTCTCCAAAGACACAGAAAAAGCCCATAAGCACATCAATAAGGTCTCAAACTCACTAGACATCAAGAAAAAGTAAATTTGGGCGCCTGGGTGGCTCAGTCGTTAAACGTCTGCCTTTGGCTCAGGTCATGATCCCAGGGTCCTGGGATGGAGTCCCACATCGGGCTCCCTGCTCTGCGGGGAGCCTGCTTCTCCCTCTCCCACTCCCCCTGCTTGTGTTCCCTCTCTCGCTGTGTCTCTCTCTGTCAAATAAATAAATAAAATCTTTAAAAAAAAAGAAAAAGAAAAAGTAAATTAAGGTCATAATGAGATAACAGTGCACAGCCACTTGAATGACTAAAATTTAAAAGTTTGACACCACCACCACGTGTTAGTGGAATTGTGGAGCAAGGGGGACTCTCATACATTCCTGGAAGGCATGCAGGATGGGACAAACACTTGAGAAAACTGTTAATCTGAGAACTCTAGGAAATCTCTCTTGGCTTCCCCCAATACCCTCCCCCGCCCAACCCTGCCCATCTTACATACCCCAGAATGAGCTTTTTAAAAAGGAAATCTGATTGTGTACCTTCCCTCCTTAAAACATTTCAACAGATTCCATTGCCCTTAAGATAAAGTTCAAGTTCAGAGGTCTACAGGGCCCTTCATGATTAGGTCTCTGCTTACCTCTCCAGTCCTTTCTTAGGCTTCTTCCTTTTTCACCCTTCATCCCTCAACCTTGTCCCAGTAATGCTGCTAACAAACGGCCCCGAAACTCGGTGCCTTAAACAAGCAGGCATTTATTCTCTTGGATCTGAGGTCAGCTGGGGCCATTCTGCTTCAGGCTATGGCAGCTGGGGTTTGGGCAATATAAACTGGGGTTGGCTGGGGCACCTGCGTGGCTCAGTCAGTTAAGCATCTGACTCTTGATTCCAGCTCAGGTCTTGATCTCAGGGTCATGAGTTCAAGCCCCACATTGGGCTCCGTGCTGGGTGTGGAGCCTACTTTAAATAAATAGAGAAATAAACTGGGGTTGGCTGAGTGGCTCTACCTCTAGATGCAGATAGTGGATTGGCCTGAAGGTTCTGTTCTATGTGTCTCTCAACCTCCTTGGACCAGCAGACAAGCTGGGCATGTTCTCGTGGCAGTGGCAGAAGCTTATGGTGGCAATTGGAACACCTAATGCCCAAGACCTTAGTTCTTAAGATGCCCCTTAAGACTGACACACTGACACATCTACCAGGTTTCAGGACCATGTCAATGGCAATGCAGGGAGATGTACCTTTCACTGTAAGAACTGGGGCCAATAGCTCAACTTACTCCAACCCCCATGCTCCTGGTCAATTGAACCATTTTCAGCACCCTTCCAAGTATCCTGGGCTCCTCTTCTGCCTTCATCCTATTCTTTCTGTATAGACTGACAACTTCTCACCCACCCTCAACTCCTCCTGCAGCCTCCGTGCGTCAAGGTCAGGCCAGTGCCCTGCTATGTGCTCCCATAGTGCCTTGCACTTCCCTCTCCTGGCTCCTACTACACTGTGATGAGCTGTTCACCTGTCCAGACCCCTTATCTCTGAAGGTTTAGGTCATCTTGTTCTTGATGTGTGAGGCAGGCATGGGGAAAGTTCATTCCTGTGTACAATCTTTAGTTCCTGGAAATAGAGTACGGGGTGTGTCATGTGTTGGGCCTCAATACTTTAGGAGGGCCCAACTGCACGTGGGGTGACATACACTTTTCTCTGGGTTACAGACAGAAACGAAAGCATAGTGGATATCTGTTGCTTTTGCCTGCCCACATCTCTTTGGCCTTTTAGAAATAATAGCAGCTTGCCTTTGGGGAATCCCTCCTGCTTATGTCCCCTGCCTGGGTCAAGGTGGAGCTAACCAGATGTTCTCCCCAACCAGTTTGAATAAGGTGGAGCAAACTGATGGGAAAATAATTTGAACAGACTTTTCTCAAAGGCAATTCTTTGCTACACCTGCCCATTATTAGCTCCTGCTACCCAGACTCCCAGAGCTACTGGGGTTCCTACTCTCGATGAAGTTCTTAAATTCAGCTTTTCCTGGGATTCTCGATGCTCTCATAAATCCTTCCAATATACGCCTGCATTTCATTTTAATTAGAACAACCAGAGTACATTTCTATTACTTATTCTTAACAAATAATTAGAGCTGATACTTAACCAGATGCTCAGCAACTTCAGGCCCCACCCTGGGTCTCTGCTCTCTTCTTCCTGGCCACCTGGAAGCGGGGAGGGAGCTTGCCAGCTTTGACTTAGGGTTAATTGACCTTTGAGTGCTCATAAAGCTCATGTTGAGAGGCACACCTCTGGATGATTTAAGGCATCTTTTCTTTGCCAAGGAGGGAAAAGAATTTCCTCTGACAGCTGGAAAGACAAGTGGCTACTGCATGCCAGGTCCCACATGTTAAAAATGTACCCCATAATTATATTTGCAGAGCAGGTCTTTTGAGTATTCTTAGAGCTTTGAGGAAGGAGAGAGTTACTAGAAATTACCAGGGCGGGCAAGCGAGAAGGTGGCCTAGGAGCCACTCTGTTGCCCATCCAAATAAATCTCCCTGCTGAGAAGCCTCTCATTGATTCATTCCTATCAGTATCTCTAGGTCTATATCATCTATATCTATACATCTATCTATCTGTTATCTATCTATCTATCTATCTATCTATCTATCTATCTATCTATCTATCATCTATCTATCTATCTATTTATCGATCATCTATCTCCTCTCCTATTGGACGTGAATGGACTCTCAGAGGCCGTGGGCATTCTCACATTGTCCGTTGGCTAGACAGCATGGAGCTGGACGCACTAACAGGGTACTTAGCCCAGCTTGCCAAAGAGGCCCAGGGCACAGCTCACTGTGGGCTGGTAGTCACTTTGTGATTAAGCTCCCAGTTGTCTGGTGACACAGGAGAACAAAAGCATCCACCCGTTAGTTCCTTCTTGCCAGAAACTTACTCCATCCACGTAAGAATAAATTATGGAATCCTGTCCTCATTTGGAACGAATGACACCTTTAGTTTATTTTTAATTGTCCTTCTATGCAAATTTTTCTTTTCCTTTCTAATTTGTCATGTGAGAAAGTTAAATTAGTCTGAAAATGTGGGAACAGACTCCACCGATTTTAAGCTTTCTCCTTTCTTCCCTTAGGCATTTAGTCAGTTCTAATTTTTGGACTAGATTTGTTTGGTAAGTCAGAGAGAAGATAACAAGACTGGGGGGCAGGGAGGCAGGATTTTAAAGATAGAAGTACAAATGGAGCTGCCATCTGAGGTCTCAAATTAGGATGGAAAGGACATTCTCTACAGCTATATCTCACCGTAATTGAAAGCTTAAAACAGAGTGGATTTGATTTGAATCAAGAGGCTGCAATTAAATTTATTTTTCTAAAAAGTGCACTCTTAGTATGTAATATAGCCTAATGCCTGCTCTTCACAACTAATTCGGAGGGAAGGATATATTTCATTGTGAATATATTTCATTTTAAAGGGTACCTTTCATTTTAATGTAAGGATTTTGGAGAGGCCACAAGGTGTGGTGGGAAATGCATTAGGTTTCCAAAAGACCTGAATCCTTTCTCCTGTCCCTGATACTTACCTGCTGGGCTGACTTGACCTAACTCCCTGACCTCTCTGAGCCACAATTTCTCCCATAAAAGACTAACCTCCATCCTGCCATGCCTCAACCTACAGGGCCACTGAGCTCCATGAAGGGGGTTACTTGGTAAATGTGAGCTGCTCAGAGGATTTGCAGGACGCATTCCCGAGGAGCAGGGCCCAGCATTCTTAGCAGCCACCGACCGACTTGATTTGGCCAGGTGCAGGGAACTGGACTAGTCCAGAACGTGGTGAGGGCCACAGCCTTAGGTTCACCTGGAATGGGTTTCCTGACTCCACTGTTCTGATATACGTCACTATGCGTATAGTGCGAGGGTAAGATGGCAGAGCTTTTGGAGGGCAGTCTCGCATTCTTTCTTAAAATTACTACCCTTATACCTATACTTCTAGGAACCTATCTTGCTGAGGTATCTGCACAAGTACATAAGGAATAAACATAGATGATATGGATTTTTACTGATTCCCAGGTCCTATAAATGTGTTAATTTATTCCATCCTCACAACAACCCTGTGTTATCCCCATTTCACAAATAAGGAAACTGAGGCACAGAAAAGTGGAGTAACGTGCCCAGGGTCCCAGCGTTGGTAGGTGGCTTTCTGAGTCTGTCTGGGCAGTTATCACAGAATACCATAGACAATATTAACAACACAATTTTATTTCTCACAGCTCTAGAAGCTGGAAGCCCAATCCCAAGTTGCCAGCATGGCCGAGTACTGATGGCTGTCTTTTTGCTGTTGTCTGCACATGGTGGAAAGGGCAAGGAGCTTTCTGGGGTCTCTTTTATAAGGCCACTGATCTTATCCATGAGAACGTCATCCTCACGACCTAATCACCTCCGAACGGCCCCACCTCCGAATACGATCACATTGGAGATTAGGTTTCAACATACGGATCTGGGGGCCCTGAACATTCAGTCGATAGCCATGGCCCGGCCGAGACGTGAAGCTGGGCGGTCTGCCTCCGGATCCTGCAGGTCAGCCATTTTGCGGGGGCAGATCCAAGTGTTTTAGGGCCTGAAGTGCATGCAATTTTTGAGAGCCTCTTTAAAAAATTATAAATACAAGTCAGGCACAATAGTGAATATTTATTTACAACGAGAAGGGAAATTACAAAAATAACAAATTATTAAAAGCTGACAAATACCATAAGCATCGCAAAATTCAGAAAACTAACATCATATTTCTATTAATCTACTGCCTGATGCACCCTGATCATGCCTTTTCCCCCCACATTTCTTTTAGGCTTTGATCACTTCCTCTACATAGGATGACAATTTTGAAGTATTTTAGAATAGGAAGACAATTCACTCTTTCCTATAGCATAGTAAATCGAAATTTGTTTTTTCATTATTGATAGCTTTGATGCATAAAACATCCCATTTCACATAGACATACCCACTGTTTGTGGTACTTCTACACATCGGTGCTCTACAAAGACAGAAATTTTGATAAGTTCTATTCTTCATGATGCCCATCAAAAAAGAGAAAAGCATATGGTACATTTATAGTGGTATATATATGCTGCATTATCAAGTATGTTTCTGACAGATTTGGGTGAGAAACAAAGCCCTTTTCCTACCTGTGATGATTGGAAGAACCTTCTGCAGACTAGCCCCCGGCTCTGTACATTTTGGACCATTTCTCTTCCACGCTCCAAAATTCCATCCTGTTGTCCCCAGGCCTGTTTTTACTGAGTTATGACTGATGGCCCTGAACCTTTGTATCTTGACCTTGTTAGTTGGCACAGGGGGTAGGAGGAGCATTTCTGGAAGCTGTTCCTACACTGTACAACTAGCGACTACTTATATACCTCTCACTAAGCTGATCCCAGAAGGGGCCTGGGTGACGAGGGCCCAGAAACATTAGCTTCATCAGCTTTCTGGATTTGCCTCATGTAATTCTATAAGAAGGATGCTCATCACAGCTGGTTTTTAGTGGTAGAAAACGGGGTGAACCTCAATGGCCATCAGTGCAGGACTGGTTAGAATAGGAGGCGTCTGTATAGGGCTTAGGAAAAATGAACAAAATGTCTAGATGTGGTAAGGAGAGGTAATCTTCCCTTCAGGGTAAAGTAGAAGATACAAGTGGCAGGATAAGGTGGATAGTGTGACCCTGTTTAGGTATTTATGACTACTAGCCTGTTTGTGAATGCACAGACTCATTTTGGAAGCAGAGGTAAGACGCTGTAGGCAGCGTGACTGCCCCGGCGGGGGTGGACTGAGAATTGGCAGGAGGGCTTAAGGAGAGAAATTTTAAATTTTCACTTTCTCGTTTTCTGTCCTGTTTCAATGATTTGACTTGGAGTATATGCTAGCCCCAACCAAAAGAGATTAAGAAAAAATGGAAATGTGTTCATTCATACAACTTGTTTTGCAAGAACGTCAGGCACGTCTGGAACCAGGTGCTCAGAAAGTGTTACCAGGAATCTGGCTTTTTACATCCTTTGGCTGATCCTTCTTCCTCTTTGGCTTTATCCCCAGGCGCCGCCCTTCCTTTGTAATGGCAAGAGTCAGCCACTCTAGACTTAAACTTTTATCAGCTCCGCGATCCCAGGGAAAAGAGAGAGAATTCCTCTTCCCTAAGGTTCCCAGTACAAGTTCTGGGCTTGCTTCAGTTCTGTGCACACATCCATCTCTGAACCATTCACGGAGGCCAGAGAGATGAAGGAGGCCGGACCTGGTGGTGCGGTCAGTTTGACCCAAACCACATGGGCGGAGCAATGCGGGAGGAGGGGGGAGGGGCTTCCACCTAGGGAAATGGAGGTGCTGTTACCTGAAGTTGAAAAATGACCCTGGCAGGCAAGAATGGCCATCTCCACACATGCATTCCATTTACACTTTTAATGGGAGATGGAATTAAAAAACAAAACTGTGGATTGTCAGGGGAGAGCAAGTGAAATATCTCACTCTTTTGCTGGTAAAGCGAAATAGAAATGATTGATGACAACAATTGAATCCAGAGTAGAGAAAATTCTTTTTGGCTATCGTTCCCAAAGTACCTAAAGTTGCATTTGTTTGCTGAGAGAATTAGGCTGATTGAATAATTAATGGTTAATGTTGGGTTGAATTAAATAAATTATAGTATTATCCATATGATGGGGAATATTCAGCCATTAAAATGATGTAGTGGATGAATATTGATATGGAAAAGTTCCCCACAGTTACTTTTAGGGGAAAAAGGCACATTGCAAATAATATTAACAATATGATCTCACATTTTAAAAAACTGTGCGTATATTTATGTATAGTGGAAAGACTCAAAACTAACGTGCCAATGTTTCATCTGTGGCCTCCGGGTTGAGATGCTATGAATGGCTTTTATTTTATTCTCTTTTCATATGTGTATTTTCTAAACTTTTTCTAATGAATATTTATTAGTTTTTAAACATGATTTTAATTTTTATCAAAGTCATTACTTTCAAAAGTCAGTCTCATGAAGCTTATAAAAAACAGTCCCTGCCACCTCGTCACCCCAGTCCTCACTTACAGATGCAACCACTTGTAACCCTTTTAAGTGCTTCTCCTCATATTTACTTCCATTTTTCTAAATAACTTGTTTATATTGCTATTCTTGATTTTTCAGATTTATATATCATATGTTGACTCCCTAATAAGGAAGATGAAGACTCACCCTCGATAGGGCACCCTCACATACAATTCTCCTCTCATACACCCTATATGGCTTAAATCACCTCTTTTATTAAATTCATATTGTTGTTTTCATGATTAGGATCATATAAATATTGTCCACTGTCAAGCCAAGTTGTGTATTTACATCTCCTTTCCTGAACACCTTTTATTTTTTTAAAGATTTTTATTTTTATTTTTTTAAAGATTTATTTATTTGAGAGAAAGAGAGCTCGAGTGCGTGCAAGTGGGGGTCGGGGCAGAGGGAGAGGGAGAGAGGGAGACAAGCAGACACCCTGCTGAGTGGGGAACCCGATGGGGGGCTCGATCCCAGGATCCTGAGATCATGACCTGAGCCGAAATCAAGAGTCAGATACTTAACTGACTGAGCCACCCAGGCACCTCTAAAGATTTTTAAAGGAAACTCTACACCCAACGTTGGGCTCAAACACACAACCCTGAGATCAAGAGTTGCACGCTCCACTGACTGAGCCAGTCAGGCAGCCCCTAAACACCTTTTGAAGACTTTAATTTGACCTGCCACCAAGTGAAAAGCTGTTAAGTGGAAAAAATAGTTGCCTTGATTTTAATGGGGAAAACATGGCTGTATCCTAACCCAACGAAAGACATCCAAATGATTTTCACAGAGAGAAAAATATATCACTGAATAATAAAAACAAGTTTAAATAAATAATACACAGTAAGTTGAAAGTAAATAAACCCTTTATATACATAAGGTGATGTAACAAAGGCTTATTTCATTGGCCGAATGAGGAAGAGGTCTTGGCAGGTGGAGGAGAGCATCATTCTCTGGAAAGCATGTTCTTGCTGGACCATTGTCTTCACCAACACTTTTGGGTTCATGGTTCTCTTTCACTCAGGCTACACTTGAAGTTGGAGTATGGTAGATGCTTTTGGAGTTAAGTAAAGGCTGAAAATGACATAGAAACAAATCACATAGAAACAGCACGCACATCCAACAGACGGAAGTGCTGTAGAAGGTCTGTCTGGTTCGGTGTTCCTTGAATAACAGAACATTTGGGGCTCATCTAAACATGGCAAGTATCTCAAATTTGTCCGGTATGCTGGTTTCTGACTGGAAACTTGAATCAACTGGCAAGTGTGTCATTCCCTAAGATTATACTCACTTCCTAAAGCATTTATATTTAGTGTGCTTCTGGGTGAAAATATGTTATCCCAACAGCAAAAATAGAATGTTGTCTGAAAAGTGGCATAATTTTCCAAGAGGTATTATGAAGAGAACATTTTATTAGCTTTATAGGAAGTAATTGAGGAATGTTTTATTTTTCTTGTACTTCATTGCTTTTCTTAAAAAATTGGTGTTCTTCAAATATCTGTTGAAATCTTCTATTAGACTATAGAATGTCCCTCTACACACTCAAATATGTCAGGTTAGTCTATCACTTTCATTTTTATACCCCTAGAGACAGTCTGCCTGGACACCTCTCTTTTCCTGCCCTACTCTGTACTGGTTTTCCTCATACAGCTGTTTTCCTGGTCTTCCCTTTTCCAGCCTTCCGAAAATTCCTTCTCCCCTGCCCTGTGTTGGATGACCTTCTGATTCCATCCTGTTTTCTCACATTACTCCCTCATTTTGATGGAGCCCATCCTTCAGTAACTTCTTTGTGAAGGTACACAGGAGGTAAAAATGTTAAGACTCTGAATTTCTGAAAATGTCCCTATTCTACACTCACTCCTGACTGATAGTTTGGTGGGCCAGAGAATTCAAGTTGGAAATAATTTTCCTCCCGAATTTTAAAAGCATTGTTCTGTAGTCTTCTAGTTAAATGCCATTCTGATCTCTATTTCTCCTTGACAGCTTTTATGATCTTACTTCTGGTCTGGGGGATGACAGGCTTTGATGTGAGAACTCCTTCGTTATGCTGGGCTGTTTAAAGGCTCCTTCAATCTCCCTTCAGTTCTGGAAAATGTTCTTCTATTACTTCTTTGATGTTTCCTCCCCTCCATTTTTCTCTCTTAATTATTTGGACTTTGGATCTCCAGGCAGATCGTATCATTATCTCTCATTTCCCAGCTCTGTTCTTATGTCTGTGTTTCTCTATCTTCTCTATCAACCATATCTTCTCATCTGCCCACTGTGTTTTTCTTTCTGCTCTCAGTTTTTAATGTCTAGGTGTTCTCTTTTTACAAGCTCTCATTCTTGTTTTGCAGTTGCGATATCTTCTCTTATTATGGCTACTAATTGAAATTTGGGGCAAGTGTTATTTTGCTTCCTGGTTTGAATTGTCTCTGAGTTAATTTTCTTTCTTTCTTCCCTTCCTTCCTTCCTTCCTTCCTTCCTTCCTTCCTTCCTTCCTTCCTTCCTTCCTTCCTTCCTTCCTTCCTCTTTCCTTCTTCCTCCCTGGCTTCCTCCCTCCCTTCTCTCTGGTTCACTCTTTCTCCTGTCCTCCCTTTCTTTCCTTATTTCTTTTAGATTGTTGTTTTAGTCTCTGTCTTCCATGTTGAAACATGTCCCTCAGGGTCAGACGGACATCTAGGAGAGAAGCTCGAAACTGTGGATTGTCAATGTGACTGGCCGGCTGCTGGGTTTCACCGTAAGCACACTGGCTAGGACCTGGCTGTCTCAATGGGGACTCCTAGTTGCTCATATTTTAAAGCCAGTCTTCTGGGCTGAATAGAACCCCCAAAGCTCCTGTCTAGATGGGGGTGGGCTAGGTCTGACAGCCAGGTAGGGGCAGCATGTTTGATGGTACAGCACTTCAGAAAGCAAATCCTCTGTTTTATTTATTTTTTTAAAGATTTTATTTATTTGAGAGAGATAGTGAGAGAGATCACAGAGGGAGAAGAAGAAGCAGACTCCCCACTGAGCCAGGAGCCCGATGAGGGGCTCGATCCCAGGACCCTGAGATCATGACCTGGCCCAAAGGCAGATGGACTGAACCATCCAGGTGGCCCTGCAAATCCTCTGTTTTAATAGACGTCTTCGGGGTGCCTGGGTGGCTCAGTCGTTAAGCGTCTGCCTTCGGCTCAGGTCATGGTCCCAGGGTCCTGGGATCAAGCCCCGCATCGGGCTCCCTGCTCGGTGGGAAGCCTGCTTCTCCCTCTCCCACTCCCCCTGCTTGTGTTCCCTCTCTCGCTGTGTCTCTCTCTGTCAAATAAATAAATAAAATCTTAAAAAAAAAAAATAGACGTCTTCCACCACTCTTGGCTGTTCCTCATGTCTACAGGTCGACCTCACCAGAAACGAAATCCCCCATCTGCCAGGGTGGAGAAGGGGTGGTTCTGGATTATGAGCGCAGAGGCTGGAGATCTTCTTTTAGAAGAGGCTCTTTTTTAGAGGTCACCTGTTTAACTGGACATTGTGCATTATGTTTTAGCTTAAGAAAGAAAGCACATTATTTTAATGGGGAAGGGCAATGACACCCCGCTTAAATCAAACCTTACCTCATTAAGACCAAAAGAGTCCAAGAGTACACGCATCCCAGTGCTGCAAGATAGCAGATCGCTCACCAAGAAAATGTCCGGTAAGCAGAGAGCCATGACCAACTTCTTGAATTCTGGGCTCCAAAGAACAATGAAAATAGATTCCCTAGGACATCATATCCCCATCACCACTGAAGTTGTCTACGACTTCCTACTCTGAAACTATGATGTCAGTCAGAGGCTCTGTGGGTGTCCTGGATTAATTAAAGTTATAATTAATAAACCCATGTTTCGGCCACCACTTATTGAGCACTTACCAGGTGCCAGGCTTTTAACATATTATTTCACACCTGTGTGAGGAGCTTTTAACACATTATTTCACACCTGTATTATTACATTTGTGCCCTGCCCAATCCAAGGGCTGTCACTGACTTTGTAGCTTCTATCAATCGTGACCCCTAGGATTTGTGCAGTGCACAACCTGAGCCGTAATACTCGGCAGCTCTGACTTAAATTCTCCCAACAATACTATAAGGGAGTATTGTTCAGATCATTTGACAGATGATGAAACCATCATTCAGAGAGGCTAAATACCTTGCTGACATTCTCACGGTTAGCAAGGGTTGGAGCTGAGATTCTGATTCCCAGGTTGCCTGAGTCCGAAGCTGGTGCTTTCACCAGGACACTGTTTTCACTCTGGCAGGGAGGGCAGGATGGGTTGGGGTGGAAAGCTGGGGGCTGTGCAACTCCACCAGCTGTTCTTGGTGGGTGCTGCTCTGCCCTGAAAGCTGCTTGCTGCTCTGGACCTTGGAGTGCTTTGCCCCGATGGGGAAGTTCTTCAGAAAGTCTTTGTCTTTTTAAATTCTGGCTCCATGATGATTCTCCTGCTCAATGTGTGTCTTCTGTCCATGATGCCTGAGGCCAGGATGGGCATATGCTTCCCCACTGCGCTCACTCCCCTTTGCAGCCAGATCACTAGAGGGGTTCTGTGCCTGGAAGGAGTGAGTCCCTTCTAGAACACTCAGAAGGCTCAGTCAGAGGTGTGAAGAAGGTGAAGGAGGAGGGACAGAGAGCCATGCTTAGGTCCTGGACGGTATCTAGGAGGGAACTTGAGTGTAACAAAGGCTGTGAGGGTGTGATTTCTCTCCCAAGCCTTCCGAGCTACAAATAGTGTGTAGCTGCCCTACTCCAGAGCCCCTCCCGTGGGGGTGCAGATGGGGTGGGGTAGAGGGACGTACTCATGTGTGAATATGCATGCTTGTGCGCATGTGTGCACGTGTGTGATGTTTGCGATACTTGTGTGTGCACGGCCGTCCAAGGAGAGAGCCTGGAATAATTGTGATGAGGATTAAAACTCATGAAACCGAATTTCTGTAAGAATGGGACCCATGTGTGCATACACACACACAGACTTGCATACCCAGACCTCTTTGCATTTGAGGTTTGTTTTGCCTGCCATCCCCAATCCAGGCAGATTTGGAGGCATCTATTTTTATTTCTGTTTCTGTTAAATTGTTCTCAATCTTCTCAGTAGTATCAACAACTTACTGTTCTTACAGTAACTAGATAGCTGCCAGTTATGTATTTTTTACTCCGAGCCAGACACTGAGCTCAGCCCTTAACATGCATGATCTCATTGGCCCTTCCCAAGAACCCTATCTATAGACTAGGTGTTACACCCAGTTTACAGATAAGGAGACTCAGAGAGGTAAAACAATGTATCAGGGTGTCACTGTTTCTAAGTGACCAAACACACATCTGAACCCAGATATAATTCCAATGGGCTCGTTCCAATGCACTCATTAATTCAACAAACATTTCTTGAGCACCTACTATATTCCAGGCACTATTCTGATTGCTGGGGATATAGTAGTGAATGAAAAAAAAAAAAATCCCTGGCCTCATGAAACTTAACATCTAACAGGGGAAACAGAAAAGCAAGTTAAATAATAAAGTATATCAAGTGAAAATAATCATCAGGGTTAAGGAGCTTAAAATAAAGCAGGGAGAAAGAGTTGCTGAAACTTCTGATAAGGCAAGCAGGAAGAACCTCATGGAGGAGGTGACATTTATAAAGACCCAAAGGAAGTGAAGGAGCAAGCCATGCTGTTATCTAGAGGAAAGTATTCTAGGCAGGGGAAATAGCCAGTGCAAAGGTCCTGAGGTAGGGGCATGTCATCTGTGTTCAGAGAATACTGCAGAAACCAGCACAGCTAGAGCAGAGGCCACATGGGGGAGAATAGTGGATGTCAGGCTTCTTTTGGTGATTAAACAAAAATCTGCATATTATCATTGCTGTACCTCTAACAAAGCAGTTTCATCATACTCCTCATTTCTCTGTACTCCACATTCCTGGCATCTTTCACTAAAGTCTACAGAGATTGGAGGCTGGGTTTTGTCCCTAGGGCAGGAGGGCAGCAATCTCTAGATTTCCACTGACGTCCACCTAAGCTGGAAGGCACCTGCAGTGTTAGTGGGTGGAGGGGGAGTCTGGTAGGGGAGGGAAACCTCAGTCCTCTCAGTCCAATGATGCTGACCTCAAGTAACTTGGCGGCCAGCCTGGGGGCAGCCCCGCAGTTCTCTGCACCATTATACCCCTGTTGCCCCGCCTTTTTATTCTTTGTTAGAGCCAAAAGAGAAGCTCTGTGTAATTCTTAAGACCATATATTTAGCTAACCTGCTCTGGCCTAAGTGATATTTTATGAGGAATTAATCTAATGGCTGATCATCTTTCACACCCTGACAGTGGGAAATGTGTCCTGGGAAGACCTCACTGCTGAGCCAACCTCACTGTTCTTGGCAGAGCCTGGGCTGGAGAAATGGCCCACGTCCTGCCTTGGCTCTAGACGCAAGAGGAGTCTGGGGGTTTTGGAGGTCCTAAGGAAATCGGGGGCAACCCAAAGAAAATCAGACACAGAGAACACAACAAATTGAATTTTTGGAGGAAATTGCTTTTTGTCTCTCATGTCTGCTTCCCTTTTATTTAATTTTTGAGACTCTGTATGAGTTAGTTATAGGCAATCAACTTAGTATTTTCTACCCATTAATCAATACATATTAAATGCTAAGGAATCCAGTTTTTTGGATGGCTGGGGGCCCTGCATAGCCACAGTTTCAGAAAGCCTGCCATGCCCTAACCTCCTCTCTAGGGATTCCCTTCCCCCAGGTTGTCCCCATGGCACCTTGAACCCTATCTCCTTGGTTGTAGAAGATCAGTGGTCTTTGCCTAAGGACGGCCAGTCCACACACTGTTCATGAAAGTATAAGGTGGTCTTGGGTCCAGCAGTGACAAGGGTGACTAGTCAGACTCCCTCACTGGGAGAGTTTGCTTCCAAGAATATGGGCTCAGGGATCAAATAAACCAGGATCTTATGCGAGGGGTGGTGACGTGGAGGTCCCTGAGTCTGGACCACCTCATCAGTGCCGACCACTAACTGTGGGCCCCACTCCTAGGAAGGGGGGCTGAATTGAGAATGGGAGGGACATGGCCTCGGCTTTAGGAGGAGTCAGAAGGCAGGTGGGATGGGCTGGGGCAGGGAGAATAGTTTGGCAAGCTTCACCCTTGGCATCAGAGCTGAAAAGAGCTTACAGATACCACCTCAGAGGTTATCAGGAGCTAAGGCGAGAACCAAAAGACTGAGGAAGAGTGGGCCTCTGAGGAAGAAGACAGAGCTTGGCACTGAATGCATTAATAGAAGAATGAGGATAACGGAGAATAACAGATAGGACTTTGATTCGAGTGAAAGCCTCTGGATTACATGATGCCGAAATGATAGGAGACAGCAGTACCCAAATGTAACTAGGAGGAAGGACCCTGTTATCAAGGTCCAGGGTGAAATGGAGGAGCCACTCACAAGTAGGAGAACTGGAAGCCAAGAAGCCTGGAGAGGTCCACACATGGGGCTGTGTTCCAGAAAGGTCTTTGGCCTGGAAGCATAAAACAAGAACTTTTATGGACCATCTTTGTGCCAGGTTCTTTTATATCTTCAGTGAATTCATTAATGTAAATGTGGACCTCCTGTATACAACCTGGTCACCACCCCAAGGCAAAGGGGGCATTGGTCATGGGGCAGCAGTGGGGAGGAGGAGGCCAGGCAGGTCCAGGGTCCCGGGAGGTGGGTAGGGGGCAAGCAGATGAGAACCTTCCCGGGAGGGCAAGGAGGTGGAAGGAGCGGGGGCTACGAGGCTGCAAGCCTCACAGAAGGGAAGACCAATGGGCCTTCACTTATAAAACACAAATGCCAATATAAAATCACTACAAAGTTCAAGACAGAGACTAAATAGCTTGAAACCCCAAGCCTGGCCCTTCTGAGTATAGGTTCTGCGTAACTAGACTGGCGGCAGGCCTGGGAAGCTGCCCTGCTCAAGGGGAACAGAGGTGAGAATCACAGTGCCTGAGAAGCTGGTCCCAGAATTCCTCTTGGGAATGAATCATATGCGAGTTGACGGCAACATCCCTGGAGCATGGGTGTTGGCAAGAACCAAAGACAGAGGACAAAGCTCAACTGCTCTGAGTGAGGCCAGGAGAGCAACTGTCCCTTTGTTTCAGAAGGGAGCAGGTGGATAGGTGCCCATGAGGAAGTGTGGGGCTGGAGATCAGGGAAGAGTGAAGGAGACAGGTCTTGCCGGTCGGGTAGCTGCAGGACCGCTCCAGCCCTGGGAAGCATAAGGTTGAATTTGCAGTTGTTAGCATGCTGTCTGTGGTCAAAACTCTCCTCCATGTCTCCCCTCCACCTCACCGTGATGGGGAAAACTCTCCTATACCCACAGATGCTTAGGAAGAATTGTGTGTCTGCGGGTGGTGTGCGTGCGTGTGTGCGTGCACAAACACATGCATGCACACTCACGGTAGGTTAAGGGAGGAAGTTCACATCAGATTTAAAGTGATATGGACCACAGTAGGCATAAACAGAAGCAATTATCTTGAGAATCTAACTCCCAGGAATCTGAGAAATCCTAGGGGGAGTCTTTGAACTTCCATGAGATGTTGAAACAGGAGAGGGGGCATCCAGCCCAATCTTATCCAGATCTCCAGGGTCTGTAGGATATGAGCCAAATGAGTCTTTGGAGTCTAGGACAGAAGTAATCCTGAACTGCTAAGTGGCAGTGGTGGTGATGATGATGATGATGTCAAAGACTGTTCAGTATAATTCTTCTACCCCCTAGCAATCAGGGACTCCATCCCTCTCTTATGGATGATGGTACTGAGCCACAGAGAGCCACAGAGAGCTTAGTCACATAGGTAGCAAATAAGATGGAGTCCATCCCGATTGAACGTGAGGGGGCTAACTCTGTTCTTGGGGTTTGACTGCCAGGATGGGCTGTGGGCAGGTTCACCTGCTGTGTACTGCACAACCAAGGGGCTCCATTTCTATTTTGATCTGTTCATGGTGCTCTCTGCGGCCCACAGCCTGAGTGCCCACTGCAATAAAACATTTCAGGAAAACATCTCAATGACCAGGTGAGGACAGCAGAGCTAATGACTCATTCAGCAAGTGTGTATGGACACCGACCACCTGCCAGGAACCGTGCTCAGCCCTGAGGGTCCAGGCGAAGCGGAGTGGTTGCTGGAAGAGACTGCCACGCAGGGCTGAGTTTGTACAATTGTCCGAGTGATGCGGGTAGAGAGAAGGAAGCATCTCATTCTTCTGGAAAGGGTGGTCAGAGAAGGCTTCAAGGAGGAGGCCACACCTGAGCTGAGGCCTCCAGGATGAAGAGTTCACCAGACAGACCAAGGGTTGGGGGGGGGAGGGGTCGCATTCCTGACAGGGGAAATTGCACGAGCAAAGTCAAAGAACTGTTGGTTCATGCCCTGCCTAGCGGGAAAGCCAGTTGCAATATTCCAGTTTGCAGTGGGGTATAGAGTTTATGTGCAAGGCTGAATAGGTATGTGGGAATTCGGATCCCGAAATGCATTAAGTGGCCTTGCTAAGAGGTTAGATCTCCGAACAGTTGTTTCCCTTATCCACAGAGGGTATGTTCCAAGACCCCCAGCGGCTAGTGCCGCGCCCTACATACACTAGACACACACACTCTGATACGGTGCAATTTACAGATCAGGCACAGTACGAGATGGACAACAATGACTACTAATAAAATAGAACAATTCTAACAATGCCCTCTAGTAAAGGTTACGTGGGTCTGGTCACGCTCTCTGAATACCTGACTGCACCGCACTCATCCTTCTTCTTCCAGGGATGACGTGGACGATAAGATGCCTGCGTGATGAGATGAAGTGAGAGCAGGACAAGGCGCTGAGACATAGCTTCAGGCCACCACGGACCGCCTGACGCTACATCGGAAGGAGGATCGTCTGCTTCCTCACCGTGGTTGGCCACGGGTAACCGAAAGCATGGAGAGCCAAGCTCCATGTAAGGGGGTGCTGCAGCACTGAATGGGTGTGCAGAGGGGCGAGGACCTAGGTCTTACGGAGCCCGGAGAGGAACCCCCATCTCCACCCTCTAAGATTGATTACGTCAGTGGAAGTCGTGAGAACGGACATGGAGACAGTCTTCTCCGGGCCCAGGGCAGAGTCACTGAATAGTATACGTATTACGTGCCTCCTTACTGAAAGGGCTATACGTACTGAGTTGGCCTTTCATGACTTAACAAATGCCCCCTGGGCAGGTGGCTGATGTGTACGAGTTGGCAGGTGTCAGAGCCCGTGTGGAGCGGTGGGGACTCTGGAGGACTAAAGCATGCACATCCCATCCAAAGCGGACAGTCATTACCCAGTTCCAGGCTATTGTTGCCATGAAGGAATGAGTGCTTGGTTTTGCCAGAGATTCCAATTTTTGAGAAGGCAGAAATCCAGAATTTTAGGTAAAATTTCCTGTGCTTTAAATGAGAACAACTAATTCAAGTGTTTTCAAAACACTGTAACAGGCTAAACAAAACTCAAATAGGAACAGGGGTTAGCTAGCCACCGAGTTCCCCTTTCTTCCTGTTTATCATCCATCTACCCATCCATTCACCTAACCTTCCATCCATCCATCCATCCATCCATCCATCCATCCATCCATCTATCCATCTGTCCATCCATCCATCCATCTGTCCATCCATCTATCCATCTGTCCCTCTATTCATTTCTTCCCATCCACTCATCCATCCACCCATCTGTCTGCCCATCCATGTACCTACCTATCTACCCATTCATCCTTGTCCACACATACATACCCCCTGCTTCATCTATCCACCTACTTACCTAACCACCCACCTATTCATTCATCCATCCATCCATCCATCCATCCATCCATCCATCCATCCCTCTTCCTATTAAAGTACACTCCTTCTCAAACCTGTACAGGACTGAAACATTCATTCAGTTCCATCTTTTCCACCTGCCCTTGGCAGTCCTATTTCCTTCCAAGTTCAAGCAAATTCTACGCTTGTAAAATGGTGCAAATAAAGGCAAGCTTGCACTTGCCCCTTTTTAAGGAGGAATTTTCCCTCTGTCTCTTGCCCTTGCTGTGCTGCTGAAGTAGGAGGGTATTTTTTTTCTCCCCTTGGATTTGAGCCTTCACAAGTGTTCCAGAACAAAATTAAACCAAATAGAGAATTAGGTTCCCCTCCCTTTTCTTGGAAATATCTTGCCACTGGGCCATGCTCCCTGGGAATTAAATAAATCTTCAAAAGGAGATCAGAAATAGATTTCTCAGTGGGGTTTCCAGACGTCCGTAAATGGACTTACTGCAAATGGGTTAGGTTTGGCAAATTCTAAATTGTGATTGGGTGAATGTGCAATATATTTGTGCAAATAACCTTCTTTTTAACTTTCTCCTCCATATTCAATTGCAAGTCCTCCTCCTTAATGTCCTGCTTCAACTGTCCTTCCTTACTTTCCCTAAACTTCTCCTCCAGCTTGAGGCTAGGGGAAAGGAAGGGGGCGGGCAGATGACCAATATTCATTGTGCTAAATGCTTTTTTTTTTTTTAAGATTTTGTTTATTTGAGAGAAAGAGCAAGTGCATGCGTTGGGGGAGAGGGTCAGAGAGAGAGGGAGAAGCAGACTTCCCACTGAGCAGGGAGCCCAACACGGGGCTCAATCCCAGGACCCTGAGATCACGACCTGAGCTGAAAGCAGATGCTTAACCAACTGAGCCACCCAGGCGCCCTGTGCTAAATGCTTGATACATGGGATGGTGTTCATATTCCTGATTTTAGGGGCATGTATCCTGGCACAATCTAAATAGGAAGGCATTACTGGGTGTATGAACTCTTTGAACCTCAGTATACTCATCTGTCAAAGTGGGACAAAGCTTCCCTACCCACTTCCCCAGGCAAAAGTAAACACCCTCAAAGGGGGGCTGCTGAGGTTCCTGACACACCACCGCACTAGCTCACCCTCAAAGGAATGAAACCTTCGCTAAAATGTAAATGTTCCCCCAGAAGTTTTTCCCATCATCAAGACAGCTTTTTGTATTCATTAATTCAAATGTAGTAGATTAGGAGGCCCACAGGGACAAGGAACACAGAATGGGGAGTGTCCATGGGGTAGGATGGAGCCAGAGAAGGATCTGCACAGAAGCGGCGGGAGGGAGCATGGGTGGGGGCATGGTCCTGGAGATCCTGGGTACCTCATGGGCAGAATGAGTGCTGGCTGGGGCCGGGGTGGCAAAGGACAAGAGAGGCCTTCTCTTCCATCTCTAGACGCTTTGTCTGCTACCTTCCCAGCTGGAACCCTCCCAACACTGGGAAACAGAAGAGTGTCGTGGAGCGTGTGTCTGGTCATCCTGGTGGGGTTTGGGGGGAGCCCTCGTGAATGGGAAGAGGGCCCCAAAGGAAGAGGCCCCGGAAAGCTCTCTCCTTCTCTGCCACGTGAGGACCCAACAAGAAAAGAGCAGTCTGCCACCCAGAGCAGGGCTCTCCCTGGAACCCAGCCCTGCCAGTACCCTGCTCTCAGCCTTTGGCCTCTAGGACTCTGAGAAAGAAATTTCCATTGTTCATAAGCCACCCGGTCGCTGGTATTCTGTTGCAGCATCGTGGCCTAAGCCGCACTGACTGCCCAGCCAGAACAGCACAGTCCCTGCCAGATTGTTCTGGACGAAAGTGTTCCTGACACACACGTGTAAACACAGCCGGGACTGGGATCCCTACACTGGAGAGGGGCCCACAATCTCGTCTAAGTAAATGGCTTTCTTCCCCTCCCCAGGCCCCCGGCTCTGCCCCTCGCCCTGGGTTTGCTTCGTCTCCGAAGGAGCTCACCTGCTCCTCCCCCCTCCCCAGGTCCTGCTGCTCCTCCCCCCCACCCCGGGTCTGGGGGTGCAGGCAAACAGGTGCAAACAGCCCCCGGTCAGCACCAAAGGCAGGGGAAGTGCGCGCAAATTTCCTCAGCAACACGCAAGGGGAGTGAGGTTCACAGGGAAAAAGGGGGGGTCATGAGGCCAGCTGGCAGCTTGCTGGCTTCACTTCCAGGCCCCACCCCCCCCACGGCCAGCAGGAAGCAGGATCCAGGGGACGTGGTCCCAGCTCCCCGCAGCGCTCTGAGCCACGGGTCCTGCGTGAGAACCATGACCAGCTGTGCTCAGTGCTTCTGTGGTTCTCAGGGCTTTACCCCAGAGCACCCCTGTGTCTAGAACCCCTGTGAGCCTATTCCAGACTCTTCCAGCTCGGGCCAGACCTGGCAGGCCCAATCCCGCATAGCCGGGCCCCAAATTGCCCACCCTTCACGTGGGAGTATAGAGAAATGTTCCTTCACTTGTAACGACTCTGATTTTCCTCGCGGACTCCAGCTGCTGGATACAACATATTCCAGTCTGAGCCTGTAAACTTGGTTCGATGCAAGTTTTTAGAGGTCATGGCTGTCCTCTAAGTAAAACAAGCAAGCAAATAGAAAACTCCGTCTCTCGTGTCTGGGTCTGTGGAGAAGGACGGTGGCAGCAGGGGGGAGGTGGTGGCCTCTGGATCCTGGCTGGTCGAGGCTGCTCCTTGCACCGGGCCTGTGGGGTGACGGTCCCTACCTGGGCCCAGGGGGCAGCCAGCACAGCCAATGGCTGGTGTCCTATGTAACTTGGCCCATCTTTGGGCTCAGTCATTTCCTGGGCGTGCTCCCCTGCCCGGATCAGCCCCATCTTGCTTCTCACCGTTGGGCACCGGCCAGGTTCTCCAGCTAGCCCCTAGTCTAAGCGCTCAACAGAGCCAAGAACCAAGTCATATCTGTCTTACCTCCCAAATCTGTCCTTTTCTTTCATTGTGATTCTTCTACGGGAAATCTCGAACATACACCGTTTTTGTGAGCGTCCTGACCCGCAACATGACGCACCCAAAAGGCATTTACTGAAGAGAATGGAATAAAGAGACGAAGGAAAGAGTAGTGAGAGTTCATGGAACCGGAGAGGGCAAGAGAGACCCACAGAAGAGCAGAGACCATGGAGAAATGACCCCATGAACAAGGAGCTGACCAGCGGGAAGTTAGCGTCAGATGCAGGTCTCAGTGAACCCTGGCCTACAGGCCAAACCCAGCCTGGCACCTGTTTTTATAAATAAATCTTTAATGGGGGGCACCTGGGGGGCTCAGTCAGTTAAGCATCTGCCTTCAGCTCAGGTCATGATCCCAGGGTTCTTGAATCAAGCCCTACGTCGGGCTCCCTGCTCAACAATGAGTCTGCTTCTCCCTCTCCCTTTCCTTCTGTGATCTCTCTCTCTCTCTCTCTGTCTCTCGAATAAATAAATAAAATCTTCTTAAAAAATTAAGGTTTTGGGCGCTTGGGTGGCTCAGTTGGTTGGGCGACTGCCTTCAGCTCAGGTCATGATCCTGGAGTCCCGGGATCGAGTCCCGCATTGGGCTCCCTGCTCAGCAGGGGGTCTGCTTCTCCCTCTGCCCTCTTCCTTCTCGTGCTCACTCTCTCTCTCTCAAATAAATAAATAAAATCTTTAAAAAAAAAATTAAGGTTTTAATGGAACAAGCCACACTCATTGACATATTGTCCATGGCTGCTTTATGTTAGGATGGCGGGGTTGAATATCAGGACAGAGACTGTATTGCCCACAAAGCCTAAAATAGCGACTCTGTGGTTCATTCCAGAAAAAGTTTGCTGACCACTGCTCTTATGGGCTGCATGGTGTTCCCCTGAATTTTCATATGTTGGAGTCCTAAACCCCGCTCCCTCAGAATGTGACAGTATTAGAAGATAAAGTCTTTACAGAGCTAAGTTAGAAAGAGGTCATTCGGCTGGGCTGGTGTCCTTAGAAGGAGAGGAAATAGGGACATGGACGTACAGAAGGGAGGCCACGTGAAAACAGAAGGAGAAGGCAGCCATCTGCAAGCCCAGGAGGGCAGCCTCAGAAGGAAGCCATCCCTCCAGCACCTGGGTCTCGGACTTCTAGCTTCCAGAACGGTGGGAAAATAAATTTCTGTTGTTTATGCCACCCAGGCTCTGGCCATTTGTTCTGGCAGCCAGCCAGCCTCCTAGCTCCTCTTTCCTTTGTTTTAGAGCAAATGCAAACCACTGCTGTAACAGTCCACAGCTCCTGTTGGCGCCGCGGGAAGGCGGAGGGGCAGCCAGGGCAGTAAGCGTCCTGCCGGCTTTCTGCCCCATGGCGGGTGCGCCACGGCTGACCCCCACTGGCCGCGTCCACCCAGAAACGAACCAGCCAGCACAGAAGTCCGGGTGATTCCGTGCATCAAGCTTGGTCCCCCAGGGTGCAGCGCAAGGTGAAGAAGAACAGAAAATGGATCTAGGGGCAGAGAGTAGAGTATCCAGCACGTGCACCAAAGAGTAGAGAGCATGGTATCATGAACCCCTGTACCCATCACGCACCTTCGACGATTACCAACATTTCCCATTGCTGTTCCGTCTATGTCTTGTATCTCTTATTTTATTTATATTGCTTGTCTCTTATATCATCTATATCTCTCTTATTTTTTCTGGAGTATTCTACAGCAAATCCCAGGAATTATACCATTCGCCCAAGAATAGCTCAGTATGCATCCATAACAGATAAAAACATATTTTATAAGCATGACGATGATTTATCATACCTAATAAAAATTTTTTTAATTCCTTAACAACATCAGCTCCTCCCAGTCTATACTCAAATTTCACCATTGTCTCAAAAATGTCTTTTAACAGTTGGTATGTTCTAATCAGGTGCCAAACTTCATACTTACAGGACCTTTATTCGTTGGAAGAATTGGGTTATTTGTCCTGTTGTAGAACTTCTCACATTCTGGGTTCTCCTGACACATCACCGTGTTGTCATTTAACCTGTTCCCATGTTCTCCTGAACTTCCTGGAAACTGTTAGATGGAAAGATTTGATTAGGTTCAGGCTCAGTATTCATGGGCGGTGCCTTCTACTGCATGATATGACAAGAAGAGAATATCTGCTTCTTGCACTTTCTGCAGAGTTGACGATGATCACTGGGGTCAGACATGTCTGCCGGATCCCTCTGCTATCAAGTTCCCTATCAACCTTTTATCTAGTCATGTTAGCGTCTCTTGATAATCATTGCCAAATCTCTCATTTCATTTGGACTTGCAAAATGGTGAAGTATGAGTCAGGGTCCTGCGGAGAAACAGAACTAACAGGAGATAAGGATTTAGTAGGAGGACTGGCTCACGTAATTATGGAGGCCCCACAGTCTGCAAGCTGGAGACCCAGGAGAGCCAGGGGTATAATTCAAAGTGAGTCCAAAGGCCTGAGAACCACAGGGGCTGATGGTGTAAATCCCAGTCCCAGAGCAGGAGGAAAGCCGGATCCCACCTCAGTAGTCAGGCAGAAGCAGCAACAACTTCTTTTCTCTGCCTTTTCTTGTTCTCTTCAGGCCCTTGGTGGGTTGGACGAGGCCCACCCACACAGGGAAGAGCAAGCTGCTTGACTCAGTCAGCGGATTCACATGTGAATCTCATCCCGAAACACTCACAGACACACCCAGAAATCACAGTTTGCCAAGTGTCTGGGCATCCTATGGCCTGGTCAAGCTGACCATAAATTTAACCATCACAAGTGATTTCCTAAATCGCCCATTCCTTCTGCACTTATTAGGTAGAATTCTTCTATAAAGAACTTTCCCTCATCAACTATTTAGTGCCTCTGAAGTATAATTTTTACAAAAAAGAATAGATACATAATTCTTTTCTTGATCAACTATTAGGACTGAGTGTGTAGACTTGCTACCGATGATTTTGGTGGGGGGTGGTCATTAAGAACTTATGATTTAAAAAAAAATATTTGATGTATTTAAATCCTTTGTGGTCAATATTTCTTTTGATGCCCAAATTGTCCCATCTTCGGCCAGTGGGAGCCCGTCCAACAATTTGGGCTCCTATGTCCTTTTGACATGAGAACATTAGTATTTGATAATTTCATTGCTTTCTAGCACGACAGGATGCCCCAGGCTCATCATGTGTATTTCCTTCTCCAGACCAGTTATCAATCCTTTTTCTGAGAAGCCCTGCGTCTGGGTCCAGGTTCACTGGAAAACAGAGGCCAAGCCGAAAGCATACATTCTAGCACTTAGCTAGGAAGAGTGTAGTTCCAGGAAGACGAGGAAGGTGAACAAAGGGAAGCGAGGTTGGGGGGCTGGGGGGACGGGGAGATGAAGTATAGGGCAGGCGCTTCTAGGTGGCCATAGCTTCCCCCAAACACAGCCAACTGCTTGGTGGGACAGTGCCTCTTGAGACAGGAGGTGTGGAACCAGGGATCTCAGAACAGCCAGTTGGTGGGGCTCAGAAGGGAGGTAGTTCATCTCCTGTAGTTTTCTCATTTGCTGTGTCACATGTTGTGACCCTCTCTGCATCCCTGACTGTGTCTCCTGGCTCCTGGAACAGGCAGAGGGGAAGCCAGGGTCTCCACATGTCCGGGCCAGTCAGTGTGTCGTTTATGGGGTCTCTCCTGGCCCGTCACCGCCATGCCGGGGGACTCCTCGGTGTATGCTGGTGGCGCTGGTCACAGACACGGCTTGACAACCAAGACAACCATGCGAGTTATTGTTAGGGCTGTGTGGGCCAGGAAGCAAGACAAGGGTGCAAGGCCCGTTGGAATAGGCGGGCCAAGGAGATGCGCCCACGTACATTAATTGGGCCTGGTACTTCTGCCCCCTGCCTCTCAGCTGCACTTACGCCTTCTTACAATGTTCAGATCTCATATGCAATGAATTGTTCTCACTCCTGGCCTGAGAGGGGAGGTACAAGTCCAATTCTTTAAGGCAATTTTCAGTTGCAATCTCCTAAAAAGCCCTTCCGAGGCTTAGCAAACCAAGATGCACTCCCCCCGCCCCCCACCACAGCTGGTCCAATGGTCAAAATATATACCCACTCCCTCACTCCTCTCCCAGTACTACAACTTCCAGTCCAGTTCCTTCCTAGAGCCCCAGGGAAAGCATCCCTGTCCAGGCTCCCAGACCTCTGCTGAAGCTCACGTCTTGCACGGCTAATGGGAACGAGGGTGAGAAGGCCAAAGCTACGTTTACCACTTAGTTTCCGGAGTCACACATGTTAGCACTGGGGAGTGACTCTGGTTCAGAGTAAGCACTGTGCCCGGCGTTGCTACCCTGCAAGGTGTCGGTGAGCCGGCCTTTTAGCTGTGACTTCTCCAGGCCTTTCTACCAGCTCTCATGGGGCTGGTTTTCTCTGGGTGATGAAGTACATGGAAAGCATGTGTCTCTTGTGGTTCTGAGCCCAATGTGTCATATTTGCTTTGTGGTAAAATGTGCTCTCTGCTCTGTGACAATGTAATGTAGGCTATCATGTCAATAAATCAAGCGTTTTGTCAACCCTCGGAGGGTGGTGCTGACAGAAGCATTGTGGGAGGAGTAGGTGGCTATTCTGGTAAGAATGACTTTCCACTCCAAAGTGGAAGGAGGCTGATGTCATCTACTTGCCATGAGGAGGCTAGATGATCTCCCCCAAAATGGGACCATATTGAGGGCTCAGAATCAGTCCCTGCACCTGGCATGTTGGACATTCAAAGCAAGAGCAACTATAATAATAAGGAGGGACTCCGTGTTTGAGGGCTCCCATGCCTAGCCTCCAGTCCTATCCCCATGGGAACCTAGTTCATGGCCCACTCTGCAAGCCCTGCAGAGGCCAAGGAGGGGGGCTAGTGGATGCCAACTAGATATTTTGTGCCCCCATTCCCATAAGTCCATTCATGTACCTCTTCCCGGATTTCCCTGTTTCCGATCTTATTCAATGTATCCACCACCATCCATCACCACCTAAGGGCTGACGAAATGCCTAATCTATCATCATGGAACCCTACATGACCACAGAATCAAAGAGCACATTTTACTACCAAGCATGTATGACACACTGGGCTCAAACCAAAGATGGATTGTTCTTCCATGTACCTCATCACTGAAGCCAGCCTGATAAAATATGGCAGAATGGCATGGTGACATGTCAGCTCACAGGCCAGCTGAGGAAACTTTGCAGGGTTGGGACAGTGGAGGCGATATACGGACTGTAGTCTTTTTCCTTCCAGGCCCCTGACCCCTGACCGATAAGCTGAGACCTTTGCTACTGACAAGGAGTCAGTATTTCCACAGACTGAGCCAAAATACAGCTGGTAGCTCTGCCTGCTGGGAGAACTTCCTTCACCACCACTTCTGGGGCTGTAACATGGCCGTAGTCCGTTCCTGGCTGGAGTCATCCTTATTCTAAGGCTTCTAGACCCAGGTCCAAGGCCTGTTGGTTGACTCTGAGGGATGCCAGATTCAAGTGGTGCTCAGAGCCCAAGAAAACTCCCCAGCGTGTGCAGACAAGCTTCCCTGTCCCACTGGCCGGGGGCCCCAGCTGAGCTGGTAGCACAAGAGGTATTTATGGCAGATAGTAATGCAGTGAGGTTTCTAAGAGACTTTAGTAAGAGAGCACAGCACAGACCCCTGGAATTCTGCAGCCAGGCCTCGCCTTGATTCGGGGCTCTACCAGACACGAAACGCCTGACCGCGGGACACAGAGGGATTGTGTAACCACGGATGTTCATTAAGATCTGCGTATTTCAAAAGGAATGAGATCTTGCCATTTGCAACGACGTGGATGGAACTGGAGGGTATTATGTTGAGCGAAATAACTCAAACAGAGAAAGGCATGTATCAGATGATCTCACTGATAGGAGGAATTCTTAATCGCAGGAAACAAACTGAGGGTTGCTGGAGTGGGGTGGGAGGGATGGGGTGACTGGGTGATAGACACTGGGGAGGGTATGTGCTCTGGTAAGCGCTGTGAATTGTGCAAGACTGTTGAATCTCAGATCTGTACCTCTGAAACAAATAATGCAATATATGTTAAGAAAAAAAAAGAAGAAGAAGAAGAAGGTAGCGGGAGGGGAAGAATGAAGCGGGGGAAATCGGAGGGGTAGACGAACCATGAGAGACGATGGACTCTGAAAAACAAACTGAGGGTTCTAGAGGGGAGGGGGGTGGGAGGATGGGTTAGCCTGGTGGTGGGTATTGAGGAGGGCACATTCTGCATGGAGCACTGGGTGTTGTGCACAAACAATGAATCATGGAACACTTCATCTAAAACTAATGATGTAATGTATGGGGATTAACATAAGAATAAAAAAAATAATAAAAAAAAAAAGATCTGCATATTATCAGCCCGATGAGTCACAAGCTTGGGGTGGCTACAGCCGGCATCCACTGAATGATAGAAATGATACATTCAGGACTTGGCCCAGCCAAATCCAGATGGCACAAGTAAGCGACATGTGCAGGGGGTCCGGACTCCCACGGCACCTCCTGCTTTCGCACCAACACATCTCTCACCAGAGCAACAATAAACACGGTCTGTTGCTTTCCTTGCCACGCATCATTTTTGACCTCTGTATTATTAGGGATAAAGAAAGAAAAGAATTCTCCATATCAGCAGCCCCGCCTCAGGGGTCAGCGATACCACATCTGGCAGAGCAGCTGTGCTGCGATCGGGGCTCCCACCTGATTAGGGTCACAGTAACCCCCCACCATTCTCCAAGACGAGTCTGGGCTTTGCAAAGGCTGGGAATGGGAATTAAACATTGCTGTGATGAGAGCTGCTGTCCCTATATCCTTTCAGTCTTCCATCATAGCACTGATCTGTAAACTCTTTCAAAATGCCGTACTGCTTTGGATTTGCCGTGTTGGCTGGGACAGAGGAAGGTTTCCGCATGGCCCTTCCCACCAGAAGGACCCTTACCCTATCAGCCAGGGAAGCAATGTGAGGAATGTGTTAAGGATATTCTTTATACTCATGCATTCCCTGGGAACCAGAGACATAAACAAGGGGTGGGTCCTTAGATGTCCCCCCACCCAGTGTACAGTTATCCTGTCTCTTCGGGGAAAGACCAAAGAACTCTCTACTATATATACTTGAAATGGCATCACAGGATCCTTCTTCAAGGGGATGCAATCCCTCCTTCTGTGGCCCAAGGGTTTGTGAACGTGCCTGGTGGGTACCAGGCGAGCGACAGGTATTCTCCATTGTCGCTGCCATTGTCACCCTTCTGCTTGCCAGTGCTCAGTGCCTTCTCATTATAAAAACTGAGAAACACTCTTGTTCATCTGCCTCACCACTAGGAACACCATGGCCAATTAGCCAATGCCTCGAATCCCTGTAGGTCAAGGACACCAAAGGTCACTCCGGCCTTCCTGCCAGCTATAGCAATAATGCCTCTTGCCCTTGGTGGTAAGCGCTGCTCTGTGGTCTTTGCCATTCCAGAATCCCAGTGTTCCTCTGGAATCAGAGAGCCTAGTTCCACGGTAATCTCTCCCATTATCAACTGGCTTTCAGAGATGCTGGTGCACCTCTCACAGGTGAAATCTCTATTGTCTTAGCAAGGGAGGCAGGGTGTGTGTCCTCCAGGAGCACATAGTCAGGTAAAGGGTCTTCAGGTCTTATGTAGCAAGTCTATTCTACCATTAATACTTTCCTGAATCTTTTGTCTTCTTTAACATTCTGCCAAAGCAGTTCTGACATCAGTACCTCATTTACTGTAAGTCATTGTCATGTCCAGGTTTCAAGGAGCCATTCTAGATAACTGGATTGGCTCCAAATACCCTTGTCGAAACCTTGGGTCCCAAGTGATAGGTGGGTGACTTCTTACCATTAGCCCCATATTCTGCCGCTTCTGCCAGTCTACTCTCCTAAAGATCCACCTGCACGTATGTTTCCCGATCCTGCTGGAGCAACTCAGCCTGTTCCTAGAATTTATTTTGGCTGTAGGGGATTTCCTCCCAGAGGGGGGGGATTGTACATCCCCATTCAGGTCAGGAGATCTGACCCCGGTTATCAGCCTATGAGTAACAAGATGAGTAGAAGAGGATCTTAAGAAAACGAGGCTTCTGGGGCGCCTGGGTGGCTCAGTTGGTTGGGCGACTGCCTTCGGCTCGGGTCATGATCCCGGAGTCCCAGGATCGAGTCCCGCATGGGGCTCCCTGCTCGGCAGGGAGCCTGCTTCTCACTCTGACCCTCCCCCCTCTCATTCTCTCTGTCTCAAGTAAATAAAGAAAGAAAGAAAGAAAGAAGAGGAGCTTAAGAAAACGAGGCTTCATTCTGTGAGGCACTTACTTCAGGTAAGGTCATGGATTATTCTGGTATACAGAAAAGGGGAGGCTGTTCTCCTCTGATAAAGGGGATGGGGCTACTTTTTCCAGCCAGAGTAATTCTGAGCAATGCTGAGATTCAAGACTCTCAAGCTCATCCACCCAGTGTCCTTATCCTGAACCCCCAGTGCCTGTTCTGAACCCCATTCTTTCTCTACCTGGCTCTGACTTTGACATAGGAAATTTATCATGGCTGCACATTTAGTATCCTTTGTACTTCCACGCCTTTATAATCAGATCCAGGATCTGATGTTTATGCATAGTCTGCCCTTCAGTGGTGGAGACGAAAACTCTAAAGCTGCCACGCAGACCCCCTGGCTTTCACGGGGTGCCATAAGGTAGCAATGAACTACCTGAATGATTCCTGAGCTAATTAGTTTCTTTTTTTCAAAGTTTCCAATGCCCTCAAAAGCAGATACTTCTGCCAGTCTTTGTAATTATTATCACCCCTTTATTAATCAAGCGCAGCTGCCTGATCAAGCTGCCTGGTAATTGAAAACCTCACTTCATAACAATTAACCGCAGGTGACAGCTTTAGTAATTGTGATATCACTACTTATCAGGGGTTCCACTAACCAAAAGCAATGGGAAACCTAACTGCATTCAGTCGGGCAGACCAGCCAACACCAAAATCCCGTCCTGAGAGTCTGCTTTTAAGGGTCACTTCTAGTAACAACTATCGTAGCCTAATTTTGCTAGAAAATAGAAGGTGGTACAAACATTTATGCTCTAGCAATTTATTGGGGTGAGCAGTCCCAGGAAAGCAAGAGAGATGGAAAAATGGGAGAGAGGCCAGAAAGAAGGGAGAGTAATCACAAAGGGGAATTTACTGAGCTGGGTGGAGCTTTGCAAAAACAAAAACAAAACAAAACAATACTGATGGTTGCTTGGCGTCGCTGCACGTCACCAGAAACTGCTGTGATTCTGAACAATCCACCAGGAAGAAAGAAAGGCAAACAATGTATCTGTCTAGTGTTTCCTTCTTAACCGCCAAATGGTATTTGTGCCAAATGGTGCTCTTTATACCCTGAGACGCGCAGGTGGTGCTGACTGGTCCCTCCAAACAGCTGATGGGGAAGCCATAACTTCTATGGGTCCTACTCAGGTAGTGCATAGACCCATCATTGTCTGTCTCCCAGCCGGTGCTGCAAAACGTTCTCCTCACTCTGGTGGATGCAGTAGCAACAACAGTGAGCATGTCTTTGCAGTCACAGAAGTAGTAGGAGCCTACACACGAATGCTCTGGCCAGGAAGCAGGGCAAGCAACCGAGGCCTGGAGGACTGGGGGCAAGCAGGATTGAGTAGGTCTGGGGTGCACAAAGACTAGCTCAGGTGTACCCTGGTTTCTTTTAGAAGGAAATAGTATTCAGATCACAATTGAGGCATTAAATATAGTCATTGCCACAAGGTTGCCATTGCTTTAAAAACTTTTCCTTGGACAGCAGAGGTAGTTCTCTCTCTTTTAGAAATAAATTATGAGTTCATATTGATATTCCCAATTAAAATGGAAGATTACAGGGTCTTATTTAGGCTTATGCTTGTGTCTGTCGTCTCTTATGCTGAAAATCTTGGTTTGCAGCGACGTTCCTAAAAGTACTTATTTGCCGATCCTACAGTATGAATGTGGTAGTTCCAAAATACAAATACTAATCATACCGCTCTCTGTGTCAGACTGTATTAATCTTCACTCCCGTTTGGTGCACGTCTCTGCAGTGCTTCTTGCTGAGAGAGGAACATAGATCCTTGAGGTTTTGAACTCAGATCTCTGGCCAATAAAAGATGGAATAAGAGTGGTGGTCACTTCCAGGAAGAGGTTTTATGAGCCTGGGGATTTTTTTCTTCTGCCTCAATGACTAGCAAATATTCCAGACAGATGCTGTTCCCCCACTTGGGTCACGGGGGGAAGAGGACATACATCAGAGCTGTAGCTAACGTACAATAAACGTGTAGTGTGGGGAAAAAGCAATTTTAGTAGTTGAAAGGCACCAAGATTTGGGGTTATTTGTTATCACAATAGAAATAATCTAGTCTATCCTGATTGATATACCACTGAAAGCAGTTTTAAGATTCCTCATGGTCCTTTTTTGTCCTTAGGATATATCCCATTAAGGATATACTGCCGGGACACCTGGGTGGCTCTGTTGGTTGAACGTCTGACTCTTGATTTTGACTCACGTCATGATCTCAGGGTTGTGAGATCGAGCCCTGTGTCAGGCTCTGTGCTCAACATGGCATCTGCTTGAGATTTTCCCTCTCCCTCTGCCCCTCATGCTCTCTCTCTAAATAAATAAATAAAATCTTTTTTAAAAAGGATATACTGGCAAAATATGGTTTTCTAGAGTCATTTGCAATACCTCTTCTTCAGGTGGCTGAACCACCAACCTAATATACAAATATTGTTTCCATTTACCCAAATTTTATAAATCTTCTTTTCATCTTTATTTAATTTTACATTTGAATTAAAATATTTACATCGCTCTAAATTATACAACAAATTACATGTAGTTAAGTCTAGGTTCCATCCCTGCCCTTCTATCCTGTTCCTTCTCTCTCCTTATAGGTCCCCATTCTTATTGGTTTTTGGTTTATTCTTCCATTATTACCTTTTTTTTTTTAGAGAGTGTGTGCACGCAAAAGGGGTGGGGGAGGGGCAGAGGGACAGGGAGAGAGAGAATCTTAAGCAGATTCCATATTCAGCATGGAGCCCAACTCGGGGCTCAATCTCACGACCTTGAGATCATGACCTGAGCCGAAATCAAGAGTTGGTCGCCTAACTGACTGAGCCCCCCAAGAGCCCCCCATTATTACCTATTAATAAGATAAGCAAATGTTTCTATATTCATATATCCCCCTTTCTCAAATAAAAGATAGCATACCATAAGTACTGTTCTGAACTTTTCCTAACAATATATTCTGGAAACTATTTCACATAAGTGTAATAGAGGTCCTTCTTATTTATTTTTGTAGTTTTATAATACTCCATTGTATGAACGCACCATAATGTTTTCATCCAGTGGCCGTGATGGACTTTTGGACTGTTTCCATTCTTTTACTATCACAATTATTGGCAGTGCATATCCTTGTGCTATCTCATTTTATGTTTTTACCAGTTTATTTTTTGAGCTAGATCCATAGAAGTAGAATTGCTATGTCAAAAGGTAGGTGAATTTGTAATTTTTCTAGATGGTCCGAATTCCCCTCCATGGGGTTGTATCCTTTTGTATTTCAGCAACTTATAAGAACCTGTTTCTGAGAATTTTATTAATGGAACATGTTGTCAGACTTTGGATTTTTGCCAATCTGATAGGAAGGAAATCCTATCTCAGTAGAGTTTTAACTTTCATTTTTCATATTCTGAGAAAGTTGAGCCTCTTCCCATATATTTAAGGGTCATTTGCATTCCCCTCTGCAAACCATTCATATACCCTGACCATTTTTCTGCAGCGTTGCTGGTGGTTTTGTTCTCAATGTTTAGAAGCTCTTTATCTGTTAAGAATATTTATCTTTCATCTATGATATAGGTTCTATTTTAAATGGTATGATCCATATCCGGAATTTGGGGGCATTGAGCAAAATTACTAATGCATCTTCCCTTTGACCCAGAAACTGCATGGAGACAATGGACCTGGCATTGTCAAGCTGCTGATCCAGCAGCTGCCTACCTCTGGGCTTTTTGTTATGCAAGAAAAAAAAAGCTTTAAGTGCCTGTACTCAGTTTTTAAATGTTATTGTTATTTGAAGATGCTTTCCTACTTGTTTTTCTAAATATGAGATTATTGTAAATTTTATTTAAATATTTTCCCCTTCCCCGAGGCAGGTCAAAAACATCTATTCTCTCTAATTGCTACTTGTCTCCCCTCTCATTTATCTCTTATATTTTCTTCCACTTTTTGCCACCATGATGTTACCCCACCGAGTGACACAACCATAAAGCAGGAGTATCTGGTACAGAGTTGAATGTGGGTCCCCCAGCGCACAACCAGAGTTCCCAGGGAAGCCAGAAGGAGAGAGGTGTGGTTTCATTGTTTTTTCTCCTGTCTTCTTTGGAATGAGCACTCTGAGACTAGCAGGTGGATACCTTGGTGCTGGGGGCAGCAGGATGGCTCTAGCTTTGCGTGCCCTGGCGATGTCCAAGGACCTTGCAAATAGCTTGAGTAGGTGTGGAGCCTGGACCCCTACTGGCCTCCTCTTGGGCCAGCTCAGGGGCCCCAGGGCTGTGTGCATTCTTTGGCTATCATCCCCTTGGCCATATAAATGGTCTCTCTTCTCTCCCTGATCTCAGAGGGGCTCACAATATTTCAAGAGTCTGATGCTTTGGTTCAGCTCATGGGTGTGCCTGTCATTTTATATGGAGGATTCCAGGTTCGGCACGAACAGCCATAAACTCTATCCTAGAGAAATAAAAGCACTGGTAGCTAAGGATTTATATTCTGAGTTATTTATTGCTACAATGTTTGTACTGCCCCCCCCCCCCCCGCCCCAAAAGGAAACAACATAAACGCCTATCAATAAGGGCCAGTAAATGATGGTGCATTCATACAACGGGGCGTTGTGTTGCTCCTAAAACACGAGTTAGAGCTGCGTCTATTGACCCGGAGAGGGTGACAGTGAGGTACTGTACTTGATAAGACGCTGCAGTGAAAAAGTCTGCCCCACTTTTTCTCTGTGTCTTCTTTCGGGGAGCCAAAGAGACTTCCTTGGTTTATGTCTACATGTTTGCTTATATTTTTGAATATTATGCACCTGTTGGGCCTCGGTTTCTTCATGTGTTAACTGAGGAGGACCCCAGGGGCTTCGGTCACGCGGCCGCGGGGAGGGCCCGAGCACCTGCAAGCAGACACGGACACAACACGGTACAAACAGCGCCTCCCCCCGGTCATGAGCGGGAAGTGAATCTCTGCCGTTTGTGTCACTATTTTCAACGCACACAGAGAAAGACATAGGAGATACTTTCAGGCTGTTCGTACTGGTTCCAGGGTCGGAGGGTAGGGAGGGAAAGTTGGGAGAAAGAGATAAACTGTGATTTTCACAAAAGAGAAATATCATGTATGGTAAAAATTAAAGTGAAATTGTGGAAATTAGTATCCTAAGTGGTCTCTGTGATGTGATAATGACTAGGAAGCACCATATAGGTATGGGGGGAAAAATAAAAATATTGACTTAATTAGGTGACTGGAGTGCAGACAATTTTTATCTTAGATCCTGTGGTTATTTTGATGCAGTTTTTCCTATCAACTCTTTGAAAAGAGGGTCTCCCACTGCTGGGGGCACACAGGGGCTCAGGAAATGGTAGCTATGGCTAAAGGAATTTTATTTTAATAACTGCTCTCCGCTCAGCTTCCCAGCCTTAGGCTCCCTCCACAACACCCATGGCTCCTCACTGGTGCCCTGAACTCCCCTCGACCCCACGGCGTAGCTGCTGATTATTCCTGTTTGCAGAGCTGTTTGGGTCCCGTGACACTGAGCAACAGGGAACCGTGACTGAAATGGTGGCTAACGACCGACCTGCAAAAGGCAACAGTGCCTGACGCTGAGGGCCCATGCCTTTGGCCACCTCACCCTACGCAGTGGGCATGAAAGGGATATCCTCATTGCTATTCTGACACAACGCAGAACCAATTTCCAGATTGGAGTTGTAACACCAGGAGAGCCACCTGGAGAGAAGATAATAAAATTTTAGTGTCAAATTATCTCCTCCCGTTTAACCGGGCGCGGCGTCCCAAGCTCCAGCACTGTAGGCAAGCAGAGGTGCAGGCCAAGGGTGAGAGAGACCTCGGATGGGTGGTAGTGGATGGAGGTGATGAGCTCGTTCTGTTAATCTTGCATTCAGTTTTACGGCCTTGACCATGGGGACTAGAATTTTACCCACCCTCTCAGGGAGGAATGAGGACATCTGATTCTCGAAATACAACTGCACGCCTCACGTCCTATGGAAGAGGAGATAATGGGAGCGTATGATGGACCCGAGGGACTCAAGGGCTGAAATGCGTTGGAAATACCTTGGGTACTTCCTCAGATCCTCTGGACTTCACCTGCTCTACCAGATTCTGCCGGCTTCCTCAGCAGCCTGGGCCCTCAGCTGATGGCTCTGTGTTGACCCTCGAGCCTCTGTAGGCCTCCTGAGCCTGATCACATGCAGAACCAGAGCCTCTGGTTCTTTCCATCACTTCCAGACTCAGATACCACATCACAGCAAAGGGCGTAGCATCTGGCCTTCCAAATCACTCTCAAAGGGGCCCAAACGATGCAGCTCAGAAACGTGCCAGGATTAACCCCACGTGGACCAGAACTTGATCAAGGGGAAATGAGGCAGGGGAGGGAAACGGACAGATACATTCTATCTCATCCCTCTTTTCACCTGACTGCTCCCAGAGACAGCTAGCTGCTCCATACAACGTGCCAGGAGACCTCCACCCGGATGAACAATTCACCTGACAGCCTGCTCTCTTCAGCTCATTCTGAGGCTGGGTCAGTTCAGGAGTCACCGTCTCGCATTGCTTTGCAGTCTGCTGCTTTGCCTCCCTCTGCCCTCATCTTCCTGCTCTAGGTTTCTACAGCACAATACAATGGTCAGCGTGTAATCCTTCCCCCCAGGCTCTGTTTTCTAGGGTAATGTGGCAGCCAGAATAGTGGCTCTCCAAAGAGGCCTATGTCCTAATCTCCGGAACCTATGAATGTGTTCCCTTCCATAGCAAAAGGGATTTGGCAAACATGATTAAGTTAAGCATCTTACAATAGGGAGATTATCTTGGATGACCCAGGTGAGCCCAGTGTGATCACAGGGATCCCTATGAGAGGGAGGCAGGAGCGTCAGAGTCGGGAGAAGGTGATGTCAGGATGGAAGCCGAGATGAGAGACATGCAGCTGTGAGCCAGGGAATGCGGGCTATTCTAGAAGCTAGAAGAGGAAAGGATCGGCCTCCCCCGGAGCCTCCAGAAGGGACCCTAACAACAACTTTGTGCCCCCTAAGACTCCCTTCACACTTCTGGCATCCAGAACTGTGGGAGAATGGATGTGTGTTGTTTTAAGACACTAAGTGTCTGGTAATTTGCTGTAGCCGCCATAGAAAACTAACCAATAGAGGAAACTTGGCTAAAACATCTTTTAATGCCCTGGTTTCCAGCATGATCCTATTTTGCATGATTAAAGCTGAATGTCACATTATATTTACCCTTTGAATTCCTTCTGTGAACAAATCCTAATCTCTTCTCGGGCAGATGGATGCCCTGGTCGACTAGGGCAGAGATTTATTCTCAGAAAGGTAACTGTGTCCATACCTGTTTATCTCTACACAAACAAGCGAAACAGGAAGTCTGGGAGGAAATATTACGAACAGTGGTAGCAGGTGGGTTATTTCCTGCTTGAACTTTTGTGGATTTCCCCACTTAACTCTAACACACAGGCATTTCTTTTATAATAAAAAATAATAATTTAAAGTGACTAGGTATGAAACGGGCTAAAAATCTGCACCAGCCTCTGGTATTCTGGAAGTTAGTATAAAGGATAGGCCACCATGAGCTGGAGGTGGTCAGGGAAGGCTTCATGGAGGAGGGAGGAATCCGAGCAACACCTGGCAGGATGGGTATTTGAGGAGTAGAGGAAAGGGAGAAGGCATGATGTAAGCCAAGAAAAGTGTCTTTGCCGAGGTTAATAAATAAACCCATTTGATGTAAAGGGAATATCTGCAGAGAATGTAATAACAGTACAAAGAAAAATTAATTTATGCAGCATTTGCTTTTTTGCCGGATATTGTACCAAGCCCTCTGCTGGATTATCGTATCTAATCCTCCCAAGAATCTCATGAGGAAGGTTCTGTACATATCCTAAATATATAGACAAGGACATGGAAGAAAGAGATGCCATGTAACTTGGCAGCAAGTGATCCGAGTCCAGATTCAAATCCCACAATCACTCCCAGCTCATGTTTGAGAAGTGGATTGGAGAAGAAGCCTGGATAAGAGCGCTTAAGGCCTCAAAATATCAAATGTATTAATTTTCTACTGCCACACATTACAGACTGAATGTTTGTATCTCCTCCCCAGTTCATACCTTGAAGCCTAATCCCCAGGGTGACGGCATTTGGGGATGAGGCCTTTGGGAGCCCTCATGAATGGGATCGGTGCGCCGTAAAAAGAGACTCCAGGGAGACAATCTCTCTCTCCACCATGTGACCACACAACAGGAAGGCGACCGTCTGCAAACCAGGAGAAGGGTCCTCACCAGGACATGACCCTGCTGGCACCCTCATCTTGGACTTCCCAGCTTCCAGAACGAGAAACAAATTTCTGTTATTTAAGCCACCTGGGCTACGGTATTTTGGTAAAGCTGTTTCACCCAAGACCTTGCATACCAAATTACTAAACATTTAGCTGATTGAAATGACACCCATTTATTATATCACAGTTCTGTGGGGCGGGGTCCAGGTAGGCTCACCTGGGGTCTCTGGTTAAGGTCTCACAAGGCCAAACTCATGGTTTGGGCCAGGCAGGGCTCTCCTCTGGAGGTTCTGGGGAAAAAAATCAGGCTGCTGGCTGAATTCAGTCCCTTGTGGCTGGGGACCAAAGCTCCTGCCCCCTCACTCCCTGTGGAACCCTCCTCCCCTGCGAACGGCTGGAGAAAACACTGCTCGTTCGGGGCTCATGTGATTCAGTCAGGCCCACCTGCGTCATCCCCCTTCTGCTGTTTCGTAATTATGAGAATGGCAGTTCATCCCGTTGACCGGCTTCTGGGCGCTCACAGGAGACTGGATGAGTGTCACAGTAGGGTTCTGCCCACCACCCCCAGACTAAGGATTTGGGGTTTTGTCCTGGTCAAGGAGCCTCACTGGAGTTTTTGTAGAGGGATGCACCTAGCTGAAGGGTGGGTTTTACAAGGTTCCCTGGGCGTCGGGACTGAGGTGTGGAAGGAGGGAAGACGGGGAGACCAAAGATCAGGGATGGGGCGGTGAAGGCCTCCATGAGGGCAGGCATGGGGGAAGCTGGGGGCGAGACAGATGGCAGAGACATTAAGATGGTGAAACATTCTGCAGGACTGGCGACCCTTCGGAACACCTCCGCATTCCCAATTTCATCTGGGCCTCATTACGCACCTGTGGGAGGAAGACAGTGGTCTCTCCACGGGACAAATGAAGAAACGGGCAAGTCTCTGAATCTCTGCTTCAAAGGTCATACTCTGGATCCGTGGTCCCGGCCGCCTGACTCGGGCTCCCTGTTCCTGGAGCTCAGGACCTGGAAATTGGGCCTTACTGTCCTGGGCTACCTGCTTCCTGCCATTGTATTCTCGGAGGATATGCGGGAGAGAGACCTTTTTTTTTTTAAATCATCACTTTGAAAAGGCAATGACATCGCTTCTCCACCTTTTGGCTAAAATCAAGCGTGGGAAGGGAATGACAGGGGAAAGAGGGTGGAGGGAATGTGGAGACAGAGCGAAGGGGGTGTGGTATGTGTTGTGATGACACCTATGGATCGTTAAGTGATATAAGACTACAGAGGAAAAGCGAGGCACTCCAGAGAAGCAGGAAGGAAAAAAAGCCACTCACGTTCCCACCACCCAGAAATAACCCCCTTAAGATCTTGGAGCCAGAGAGTCCAAGTTTTGCATGTGAATATGTGTGTCCTATAACGGGCACGTATTATTCTAGAAATCTGCTCTTGTGGTTGATCAATACCTATGATGGCTGTCAGGGATGGGTCCGTGGGGCCCATGGGAGTGGATGCGTCTCCAAGCAGATTTCTGCAGGGGCTGTTTTCCCCCTCCATTCCCCCATGACAGGTGGACAGACATCAGGCAAGCCCTGTCTTCCGCTCTCTCCAGGAACTCAGTCCACTTAGCTTGCCCTGGACTGCCTATTCTCCAGAAACAAATCACTTAAAAAAAAAAAAAAAAAATCACTCCATTAAGAAGTTCAGCCCAGTCATCTCAGGCCTCAAATGCTTCCATTTTCTCCAGTCTGCCTGAAAAGGAGAAAAGCCAAAAGGAGAATTTTAAGTTGCACATATTGATTGGCTTGACTCACCAAAAGAAGGCACTTTTACCAGCTTTTCAAATTACAATTTATTCAATAGTGAAAAAGTAACTCAATTTGAGAAAGAGCTCTGACACCCCGTAGGAGTTGCTTTCTCTCCACTTAAATTATATCATCATCATTGTTCACTCATCGTTCTCTGGAAGCCACTGGGCAAAGCACAGTTCTTGGCACTTAGGAGATAATCAGTAAAGACTGTTGAATTAATGAGACTGTAACTGGCAGGGAAGTTCAAAGTCCAGAGACTTGGAAAAGTCAATGTGGATGAAATGAGTTGAGCTTGTAAGGTTTACCCACTCTGGTCAGCACTGGGAAGATCACACGGTTTGGAAACAGCCTGACCTACGTTCAGATCCTGCCCCCTTTTATCTTTGTACTTCGTATCTCTGGGCCTTAGTTACCTTGTCAATAAGAGAAGAGACATCTTTCCTGCATGTTTGTGGTGAGGATTCAAATAGATGCCCTCCATCAAGTGTATCTACAGGACGAGAAGAAAGAAGGTGCTTCTAGATCCTGTTCTGCTGGAGATTAGGGTTTGATTTCTCCAAGGGGAGGCCGCTATATCTTGAGTCCTGTAAAATAGTTGTTGAATTAAAAAAAAAAAGTTGGTTCATCTCTCTCTCTCTCTCCTTTCTCCCTTTATTCCTTTGTTTTGTTTCTTAATACCAGAGGGGAGTTGGGTGGGGGGATGGGGGAAACAGGTGAAGGGGATTAAGAGTACATTTATCATGATGAGCACTGAATGACTATATTGTACACTTGAAACGGATATAACACTGTATGTTAACTGTACTGAAATTAAAATGAAAAACTTAAAAAAAAAAGTTGGTTCTCTTTACTTCTCACTTCCTTGTCCTTGCCTTCAATTCCAGAAGCTGCTACCAGAGCTAGAGAAATGGGTCAACTCAGATTTGAGTGAAGGGCACTGGGCCCTCCTTGTGAGGAGTGCAGGAGTTTTGTATACATCCCCTCCCCCGTTTTTCTGTCTTTAAATGATCTGAATTTCTTTACCCATAATAAAAAGATTCGTTTGTGTAGTAGTTTCTCAATTGTAGATCTTGCTCAACTTACAGTGGGGCTATATCCCAATAATCCCATTGTAAGTTGAAGATATAAGTCAAAAAAATGCACGTAATACACCTAACCTACCAAACACCATAGCTTAGCCTACCCTACCTTAAACGTGCTCAGAACACTTACATCTACAGTTGGGCAAAATCCTCACACACAAAGCCTATTTTACAATAAAGTATTGGCTATCTCATGTAATTTATTGAATACTGCACTGGAAGTGATGAACAGAACAGTTGTGTGGGTACAGGATGGTTGTGATTGTATCGTGATCGCGAGGCTGACGGGGAGCTAAGGCTGCCCTGCCCAGCATCACCAAAGAGGATTGCACCACTTATCACTAGCCTGGGAAAAGATCCAAATGCGAAGTACAGTTTCTATCAAATACATATCACTTTCACACCATCATAAACTCAAAAAATCTTCTGTTGAACCACTGTAAGCTGGGGGCCATCTAGATTCATTGTCAATGTCGTGGGGGTGCATCTTGGCTTGGGGCTGTCTGTTGCAGGTGAGAAAGAAGAAAAGTAGGGAGAAAAACCTTTGCAAATTTCTGGGTCCTTGCATTTGGGATCAGTTGATGACAACTTGGGGAGAAGCTTTCTGCTAAAAGTTCTGGGATGCTTAATGGGCTTCTGGAAGATAAGTGATTTACTCTTAGGTCAAACATTGGAATTAAGAATAAAGGTCATCATGACATGAAAAAGGATTTTCTTTCCAACTTGCATGGGGCTTTCTCTCATTTTTAATTTCTCTTTATTCATCCCTTCTCATAATTTCATCCTTTTCTATTTCATTTCTTTCATTTGTTCATTCATTTCATTTCATTTTCTTTCAAACATTTATGGGCACATTTGTGTGTGTAGGACTGCTAAAGCCAGGCCCTGGGGATTTATCTGGGAACAAAACAAATGAAGTCTTTGTCTCATGGAGCTGATGTTCTGATGGGGGAGACTGTAGAACAATAAATAAACATAAGATACTGGCAGGCAGTAATAAATGTTCCAAAGAAAAAGAGAGCAAAGTAAGAAGCTAGACCATCATGGAGGTAATATTTGGGCAAAGTAAACAAGCACAAAGGCAGAGTAAGCCTTTGTAGGTGTCTGGGGGTGAAGGACTCTTCTAGGCAAAAGAAGTAGAAAGCGCAAAGGTGTGAAGGCAGGAGCATGCGCTGTGGCCACGAGGAACTAGGAGGCCACTGTGACGGGAGAACACTGAGCATGGGAAGAGTAGACGGGGATAAGGCTGTAGATGTGGCCAGGCCCAGATCACACGGCCCCTAAGCGGATGTGGTATGGACCTGGGGTTCTATTCTAAGTTTGTTGGGACATTGTGACAAGGTGTTATTTATAGGTGTTATAAAAGGGATGAATTATACCCCCCCCCCAAATTAATATGTTGAAGACCTAACTCCCTGTACCTCAGAATGTGGCTGTATCTGGAGACAGAGCATTTGGGGAGGTGATGAAGTTGAAATGAGGCCATTATGGTGGGCCCCGATGTCATATGACAGATGTCCTTATAAGAAAAGGAAATTTGGACACAGAAAGAGACACCAGAGATGCACATGCATAGAGAAAAGACCATGTGAGGACACGGCCATCCACAAGTCAAGGAGAGTGGCTTAAGAAGAAACCAAAACAGCTGACGCCCTGATCTTTGACTCCCAGCCTCCATAACTGTGAGAAAGTAGATCTGTTGTGTAAGTCACGCAGTCTGTGGTGTCCTGTCATGGCAGCCCTCCCGGACAAATAGGAAGGGTATCGAAGTGTAGATTGCTATAATCTGGCTTTAATTTCCAAAAGATCACTCCAGCTGCTATGAAGGAAGAGCCACGCTGGGGAAGACTGGAGGCAAGGAGGCCAGCTAAGAGGCTGCTATGGTGACCCAGGTGAAAGGGGGTAGTAGGCTGGGCTGTGCTGGGAAGCAAAGAGGTGAGGAGAAGTGTCCTGAGTCCAGATGGACTTCATGGGCAGCACCAACAGGACTTGTGGGAAAGAGGAAATGGAGATGTTGGCCAGATCAGCCTTGTTCAGAATGTCCACTCTGGCACTGTCCAAAATCATTCATCCTTTGTCCCCTAAGAGGTTCTGGGGGGTACTGTGAGAAGACCTTAAAAAAATTATTCCTAAGATTTCAGAGCCAAACCAGCCTTCAAAGGATCAAAAGGCAGAGGTCACTGAAAGAAAGGAGTTCGTAAGATGGTTCTAGAATCAGAATGCTTGGGTTAAAATCCTGGATCCACTTCTTACTGTGTGACGAAGGACAAGTTACTGAAATGTTCCACATCTCTGTTTCTTCATCTACACAACAAGGATGACAATATCCACTTCATGGGCTTGTTGTACAAATGGGCATATTTTTGTGAAGCTCTCAGCATAGATCTGTCCTATAGTAAATGGTATGTAGCAGTTAGCTCTTGCTGTGTAACAACCCCCCCCCCAACAACTCAGTAGCTCATATAAGAAGCATGTATTATTGCTCATGAATCTACATGTCAGTTTTTTAGGGTTTTTTAGGGGGCTAAACAGGACCAAAGATATGAGCTCTGTTTCCAAAGGGCCTGTGAACTAGGCAAACAGTGGAAACATACACATAAAGCTCATAAATCTTTGCACAGGGGTCAGGAGCATGTAAATGTGGACTGGGACTGGCTGGGAGATTTGAGTTCTCTTCCGACTGGGATTCAGGGCAAGTTCCTTCCCTCACTCTGCCTCAGTTTCCATATATAAGGGAAGGAGTTGAATCAGACCATCTTGAGAATTTCCTTCAGATATGGATTCCCTTGAATATATGTAACATTACCTGCCTACCTATGGTTTAAGCAAATGGGGGCAGTCTGACGCAAATCCAGAGTAAGCAGTCCAGGACCCATGCGTCAGCTCAGCGATAGCTGCGCTCTCCCCTTCTGCCACCCTTAGGGGGCTGGCTTGTCATCTCAGTCCCAAGGCAGTCACGGTGCCTCCAAGTATCACATCTTTGTTCTAGGCAGGTAAAAGGGAGGGGGCATAATGGGAGCAAAGGTTTATACCCACGGAGTCTGTTTCTATTTGTAAGGAAATCAAAGCCTTCCTTGGGAGCCCCGTCCTGATAATTTACATTTGTCTTATTAACCAGAGCTGTTCTCCATGGCTGCCCAACTAGAAGGTGGCTACAAGTCCCAAATAGGAGTTGGGTCAGCAACTCAGGCTGCTGGCTGCAAACATTAACCACAAGTTCACAGAGTCCCGTGGGAGCCCCTTTGGGCCCTCGGACCCACAGGGAGCTCTGGCCAGTCCAGAGGTTGTCGCTCAGGGAACATTTCCCACATCATTTCATGGGACTATACATTCTAAAAAGACAAGGACACTGCTTGCTCAGTCTCACCCAGATCTTTAGAACCTGGTTCAGGGCCCGGTCCTTCAGAGTTGTACAACAAACTTTGTGAATGAATGAATCGCCCATCGATGTGTCTGGATGTCAATGGACGGGGCACTCAGGGAATGAGGGATCTGGATAATTGGATTTTCTGGCAGCCTGAGGGTGAAGCAGGAAAGCTTATGATTTCAAATTAATTCCAGCAACACTGAGTGCCTTCTGCATCCAAAGCTCCAAGGTAAAACCATGCGTGCTATGTATGTGTAATGGTCAGGGTCTTGGCAAGAAAGATGGCACAGTCAGGGTCAGGGGGAGGCTGGGGGAGGCTCCATTGGCGCAGGGGCGGCAGGCTTAAGGGAGCCCGACAAGGGGTGGTGGAGTCCCCTGGGGCCAGCCATGCTGGGGAGCCCCGCCGCCCCTGGGGCCGGCAGAGGAAGAGGGAGAAGTGGATCCAGCACACGCAGAGAGTGGGAGCAGGGGCTGCAGGAGCGGATCCCTGGCGGGAGCTGTGGCCCCAGACAGGGGACACCGCCACTGGCCACTGCGCATAGGGGGCTGGGGAAGGGAAGCTGCACCCCTCTTTCCTTCTACCCACTGCTCACCTGTTGGCGCATTTCCTCCGCCGATTCCTCCGGGGGACCAGAGGACGGGGGCGGCGGGGGGGGACGTGCTACTGCAGTCAAACTCCCGGGCACAAGGCCGGAAGATCTGTGGTGGGGTTGACAGAGAATAGCTGGGACAAGGTACAACTTTACAGCCTCCTGATGGCTCTCCGAGGTGGACATCACCGCCCACCTCTACACAGTCGGACGGAGACCCGGAGTCGCTCAGCCATTTGTCCAAGTTCCCATAGCTTGTTAGTGGCCAAGCCAGGATGAGCGCCCATTCCCGCGCTTGTTTCTGGCTCCTTAACAGCCCCCCACCCCCCGCAGCCGCCTACTTGGGAGAGAGCCTGCTCCTTCCTTTCGCTTCTCTATTCTTCTCGGGGACCATGAGACCAGGGTGGAAAGCGCTACCTTTCTGGCAGGAGAATGAATTTTGCAAAGTGTAGATTGGAATTTAGCGGCCAGGGATGGGGGTGTTCTGTTTCAGCCTTTTTCGGAGTGGCAAGAAAACTAGGGTGTCAGGGAGCAGGGCTGAGTGCTCGGTGGGCCCCCGCTGACGACAGGTATTACTTGATCGAGGCTCCATTAAGTGCCAGGCATGGTCCTCAGAGCTTCACGCACATCATAACCCTCCAAGGAGGGTATTATTATGTTCATTTTCCTGGCTCCAAAACAGAAGCACAGAGAGGTTACCTTACTTGTTAGGTAGAAAGAGGATTCAAAAGCAAGACTGGGTACAAAGGCCAAGTTCCTTCTTTTATTCCAGTGGTTGCCCTTCAGGGGCCTGCAAGCTGATTTTGACCCACTTGGATCCCAAAAATTTTGCGAGAAAATGAAATCAGTGGCCAACATTTTAAGTGTAATTTCACATAAAAACCCGAATTTCCGACTTCTGTTAAAAAATGGAAGATTGGGGGCGCCTGGGTGGCTCAGACGTTAAGCGTCTGCCTTCGGCTCAGGTCGTGACCCCAGGGTCCTGGGATCGAGCCCCACATCGGGCTCCCTGCTCCTTGGGAAGCCTGCTTCTCCCTCTCCCACTCCCCCTGCTTGTGTTCCCTCTCTCGCTGTGTCTCTCTCTGTCAAATAAATAAATAAAGTCTTAAAAAAAAAAAGTGGAAGATTGGAAACCCTGGGCCCATATTCTCATGTGGCCACAATCAACTGAAGCTAAGTGACAGCTGACTCCTTTAAATGGGACATTTGCTCTCACTTGGCCACAGTCCTCACCACTCCCTATCGCCCCAACACTGAGGCTGCAAACCAGTGGCCATTCCTTACCTGCCTGAACTATGGTTCCCTTACACTCAGGCCACTCCACTTGTTTGTGTCGCCTGCTTGGCTCCAGAAGGCACATGGGTTTGTCTCTCCAAAGGGCCCACATCGCTCACTGATGGTACACGATGATCTACTGGGGTGAGAGAAGCAAATATTTGACCTTCTGTTCCTATGTCTGATCTCATTCATCCTTAATGTTTATCTTCATGTTTTATAGTACACTTAATAGAGTAACACGACAGCCATGGCTGCATTTTATAAATGAGTTTTATGCACATCTCTTGGGGGTATTGCTCAGAACATTTTTCTAATGGGGCCCTGAGATAGCAATGTTTGAAGACCACTGCTCTTTAGCACCCCCTGTATGGTAGCTGAGACGCTGTGAAAACCCCTTTGACTTTCTAGGCTTTAGATTTTTTTTTTTTCCATCTGGAAAATGGAGGTATTGTTACTGTCTACCTTGAAGAGCTGTTGCAAAATTCTAACCACCCAGCAAACCGTAAAGTGCTGAGCAATAAATGCAGAGAGCCACCCAGAGAGAAGGAACCGCTCCTCTTATCTTCATGTCGACCTGGAAGGGGAACTGGAAGGTTCCTTGCAGGGGGTTGAGTCATAAAGCCTGGGCTGCTGGCTGACTCGCTCCAACCCTCCCCCCCTCCCCCGCACAGCAACAGGATTGATTTCCAGGTTCATTAGTGCTGATGACGCGCTCCCGAGGAAGACAACCGCTCCACTCTCATTAAAGAGAGGCAGCTGCCCCATTTCTCTTCACCTTCCCCTCACCTCCAGCCTCCACCTGATAGCCCAGAAAGACTTTTTCTCATTTCCTTCAACCCCGGTGGCCTCCTTTGTCCTTGGGTTCACTCCTCTTGGGGAGAGTGTGGATTTAGAGGAGGACTCAGAAACATAGGTGGGGGTGTCCACAGAGTGTCTGCCCCAGTGTGGTCATGTCGAAGCTCCCTCCCACCAGAAGGGAAGAGAAGAACTTGAGATGAGTCTCTTCATGGCCCCTTAAGGGCAGCTCCGCCTGAGATGGGGCCTGGGCCTCCTGGCGGTGAGCTCTTTGGTGGACTTAAGGGGTTAGGCAGACCCCGAACATAGAGTGAATCTCTGGGACAGGACACTCCACGCACTCACTCCTTTCCTTCCAACACCCAGGAGGAGTGCAGAATTGTTCAAACCCCCAAGGTGCAGAGAGAGAATGTTAACCAGGACTATAGCCTATTAAGCAGTGGAGTGTGGATGACCAAATGTCCTGCTTTGCCTGGCACCGAGAGGTTTCCTGGGATGTGGGACTTCTAGTGCTAAAACCGGGACAGTTCAGGGCTAGCAGAAAGGTCGGACATCCCAGATGGAGCCAGAATTCAAATCCTTATACTCTCTCTCCGAAGGCCACACGCTAACCCATGCCTCCACAGCACCCTGAGTAGGACAGAGAGAGCCCCCGGGGGTATGAGCAGTGTGACAGGCAGTGAACCCTTGGAGGAGACAGCAAAAGAGTCTCAAACATAGGGACAAGTTCTCTGTGTTATTTCTCTGTCTGGGAGTGTGGTAGGAGACAGCAGAGAGGGTAGCTCCCTACCTACCTTGTTTGCAAAGTGAGGTTCCAGGAGAGAGTGGGCCAGCACCCGTGAGATCCCATTTATGGAGCATCTTTCTATTTATAACTTTAGTCCAAACCCTTGTGAGGTAGGTTCTCCAGATGAGGAAACCAGAGCTTTGAGAAGCTCAGAAATGTGCTCAAAGCCCACCCCAGTCTCTTTGCTCTGGGGGAAAAAAAAAAAACAAACAGCCATAAGCTGGGAAGCTTATAAGCAGTAGAAATTCATTGCTAACAGATCTGGGGGCTGGAAGTCCATGATCAGGATGCCAGCATGGTTGGATGAGGGCCCTCTTCTGGGTCACAGACTTCTCACTGTGTCCTCATATGACAGAAGGGGCTAGGGAGAGACGTGGGGTCTCCTTTATGAGGGTATTAGTCCCATTCACGAGGGCCCCACCCTCACGGTCAAAGGAAAGAGATGACCCTCCACTGAAAGTGGCAGAGTTTGCACCTGACCTCAGGTCTGTTTGCCTCCAGTGGCTGTGGTTTTTAACCATTAGGCCAGACTGTCCCTCCGAGAGGACTTTCTTAAAACATTGCATCATTTCCTATGATTATAACTCAAAGCTGGCAGGGGAGGGAAGACGGTAGGTGAGAGTTTGTTCCATCTTTCTGTGCCTTTTGAGTATTCTCAACTTTCTACTGTTGGTTGCTGGTGGTGAAGCAGGGAGAGTGAGCCAAACTTCAGTTTCTCGTATTTCCTTGTTCCTAACATCTGCTCAGGAGAGGAGGTCAAAGCTGTTTAGTGCAACAAGTTCTTGGAGGTGTCTGTGGAGTTCAGTTACCCTCCCCCACCCTGTACCTACTTTTCCAGCCTTATCTGAGGCTTTAGGGGTGTGTGTGTTGGGGGGGAGGTTACCACAGACATGTGCACACCCTGGGTTTGATTTATCAGTGTTACAAGTTAGGTTTTGCCAAACTGCCTATGGGCAAGAGCCAAAATTGAAGTGTTATTTAAAATACATGAGAGAGGGGTGCCTGGGTGGCTCAGTCGGTTGAGCATCAGACTCTTGGTTTCAGCTTGGGTCGTGATCTCATGGGTCTTAGGACTGAGCTTTGAGCTCAGCAGGGGGTCCGCTTAAAGATTCTCTCCCTCCCTCTGCCCCTCCCCCCCACTTGCACACTCTCTCTGTCTCAAATAAACAAATCTTAAAGAAAAAATAAAAAAGATGAGAGAGACTGATAATCATTTAAATAGCTTTGAAAAGTGTGAGACCACATCGACTGTAAAATACTACCTCCTTGGGAGATCCAGTCCAAAGAAAAGTTTTTTCCTAGGTCCTGTTAATACATGTACCTGCAATCTTCTCACACCTGAGCAGAAGTCATTCATTTCACAAATGAATTTGTGAAAATTCATATATCGAATGTCTCCTATGTGTCAGGCCCTGTGCTGGGTGCCGTGAGGATATAAAGATGAGACTGACTAGGATCTTTCCCTCATTGAATCCTCGGGTCATTAAAGGAGACAAAATACACAAATTAATGTACTACTGGGTAGGAAGGAAGAAAGGGAGAGCACTGCAGGCAGGGGCAATGGCCTGAGCGAGGATCTAGAGGGTGGAAACTGGCACCCATGGGACAGGGGAAGAGCCTCTTGGGTTCACAAAGCACCGGGGAACAAAAAAACAGAGAGGGCAAGTACCTGAATGGAGGACCGCCCTCCCCCCCCCCCCCCCCCCCGCCACAACGTCAGCCCTCACTCCTGAAGATAGGGCGATGTATACATATGCCAGAAATAGGTCTCAGAAGCACCTGATGGTCGACAGCAAGAGTTAAATGTTGGTAAGTCAAAACCCGAAGAATGGCACAAACTTGGGGAATTGCTAAACCTTGGGCACAGACGAAGAGGTGATGCGTTCAGATGGGGGAGAGCTTGGCATGGGCGGGAGGAGATGAGGTGCCCTTCACAGGCAGAACCGGAAGTCAGCCTAGAGGTGCGCTTTGGAAGGACAGAAAGAATTTCCTTGGCGGGAGAGGGCAGCCACCGGCATTCTGAGCAGGGGAGTTGTGTGGAGAAGGTGGGGAGCTGGGGAGGAGGGAAGGAGATGCAGCTGGGGTGTGTGAGTTCCCTGGTTTGACCTGTGCTGAGGGTCTGCTCTAACTTCCTCCCGTCTGGACAAGTGACTGATCGGGGTGATGAAGGGTGCCCAGGTTTGGGGGGGCAGATGGAGCTGGGCTGGGTTGAACTCTAGCCCTCCTTAACTGATCTGAAGGCATCTCTCTGTACCTCCCTCGTCCTGGGTTTCCTCATTTGCAGAAAGGCCTTCCCCAGGCTTCCCAAGCAGGCTGCTGTGAGGGTTAGAGCTTGATGTCAGAGCACTTTGTGGGCAAGCCGCAGTGAGTCCCAAGCCGCCTCGCCTTTCCACTTTGCACCCCTACCTCTGCTTCCGGCTCAGAAGCTTGGCCCACAGCCACGTACCATTTGTGGAAAGAAAAGAGACAGCCCCTTGCGGCTTTCTCCGGTGCGTGGGGAAATCTCCAGAAGCCCCTGCAGGTCACGTGCTCATTCGGAAGCCCTCGCTGATGGAGGGGGCGGGGCTTCCCTTAGGCCAATCAGGGCGGGCCCTGAGCCGGGAGGCAGGGCCGCTTCTGTTTCCCGGAGGGGCGGGGCCGGCTGCAAGTCTGGGGACAAGTCTAGCTGCCCCGGGGTGCATGACCCAAAGTGCCCGGTTCAGTGACGGTTTGCAGAGTGCACGTTCAGAGTAGGGTCTCAGGCGGCGGAGGAGCTCAAGGTCTCTTCCCTTGATGGTGTCTGGGTCACTAAACCTCAAAATGAAGGGGAGCGGAGAAAACGAAGCGAGGCTCTCTCTGAGAGTACCCGCGCAGCTCAGAGTGGTTGGTATCAAAATCATAACGTTGTCTAAAAAGTTTTTTGAAATCCATAGTTCGTGACTTTGCTTCCTCCTCTCTTCTCCAGGGCGTAACAGCCTATCCCTTTTCCTTTAGTCCTCACAAGCACCCAGGCTCCTCGCAGGGACAGTTCTGAGTGCTTCCTGCTACCAGTTTGTGCCATCTGGAGGTGTCCTGTGGTTGGCGCCCTAGTGACTGTGAACACGGTGGGCCAGGCTACCTGGGGACAGACGTGAGGTGCAGCGCCGCGCGGCACCGTGAGTGTGTGCAGGCTAGGCTCCCTGTGCTTGTCCTCAACGGGTCCTAGGAGACAAGCACTAGCCCTTGGTAGTCACGGTCAACAACAGTTTGCTCTTCTCTGTCAGGAAGAGGTGGCCGGTTGAAAAGGGGACGATCTGTGAATCCCGCAGGATTGGATTCTTGCCACTTCCTGCCGTCTCATCAAAGAGCAGAACACAACAGGGCCATGTGAAGGGAGGGAACGTGCAACTTAATGAAAAGCATGTGCTCCATAATGTAAGGAAATTACAGTATTATTACTTCCCAGCATAGCAACAAGATATAAATAGATGGTAATAAGTAAAATTAGGTTAATTGCTGAAAAAAGTACCATTCATAATAGAGTTGCATTATATAAATGTTTGCACATGTAAAAGTCCTTTAATATACATGGACTTTGATGCACTGGCATGAAAAATTGCCAGTTCTGTGACTAGCTGTGTGATCTCAGGCAACTCTCTTGCCCTTTCTAAGCTTCAATTTCATTGGCTATAAAATGAGGCTACTAATTTCTTTCTTCTAATAGAGGACCAGATGAGGTAATGTGTGAAACGGCTTTGAAAACTGGAAAGCACAATCCTTTCCTTAGGTATTTCCTAATTACCGTAACTAATAATCATCACAACTAATCATCCACAATAAAAATGTATTTAAGGAAATCGTAAAAACTCATTGTTTGAAATACCAAACTTCAAAACCATCTTTACAACAGTGTCTACAAATTGGAGACATTTAATTTGCTTTTTTAGATACTTTTTGATTAACAACAACATTGGGCCTCACCGCATCTTCTTTAGGGACTGAACAGCAATTTGTGGATTGTTTCAGACTGAAATCTGGGTGGTCCAAGTTCCTGGATTAAGGTAGCTCCCTTTATGAATGTATTTTCTGGGTAAACACGAAAACCAGATTAAATCAGGCACTTCATCACGGATAAGGAAAAATCAAAGCCCTGTGGGATGAACTGTTTATAGTCTTCCTACAGAAATGGATGCGCTGTTTATACCTAAGAGTTCTGCTCTCTCAAACCATGGCTGTTAGCTTCTCACTTCAAGTTCCTTCACCTCGCCGTCACCGCGGAGAGCCTGTCCTTGTGGGTTAAAAGCAACTAATGTCAGACCCCTGCTGGCCTAATCTGGCACTGCATGGGCAAACACAATCTCTGGTTCCTAATAATGGGGACCTTAGCTACAGGGGCAGGAGAGCGGAGATGCCAAGGATTCAGTGCTGCCTTAATTTATTTTTAGGTGTCACTGTTCATCAAAACGTATGCCAAAATGGGAGCAAGAAGAAAGGTCGAACTTGACTTACAATGGAGAACAATGGCTCTTGAGGGGCAACTGAGGATCATAATCTCCCTTCAGAGTTTAGAGCTTGAATCTGTCCCACCAGCTCACCCTTCATTGCTAACAGCATGTAGAATGTTGCATTGTTCTTCACGATGCTTTCAAACTCATTGTGGGTTGAATGTTCTAACCTCCAGTGGGGCAGAAGCTTTCTCCCCAGCTTTTCTATTCTGCCTCTCAAAAGCAAGGAGGAAGGACTCTGAAGGCTCAAGGTCAAAATGGAGTGCTCAACCATATATGTGATGGAACCACCATAATGGAAGGTGGAATCTGCAGGTATAAGGAATGTCTAGAATTACAATGTTTTTCCTTTTTGTGGTCTGAACAGGCTTCCTCTTATTCTTTCATGAAACCGAAAGAAAATGGGGCCTGCCTCTGCAAGGAAAATGGAGTCCAGGGTAAAGGAAGCACAGAGCAGCCCGGGGAGGGACAGAAGAAAACCCAAACAAAACAAGAATCTCAGATGAAGCAAGCGCAGCTTTTGTTTTGAGGAAGAGGATCCTGATTTGTGTTCCTGGCAGGTAGAAATCAGAGCAAGAATGAAGAACCCATTTTGGAGGAGCAGAGGTTGGAGAGTGGCCAAGAGGCTGAGGTGCCAGATAAACTCCCAAACTGGTGGTTTGGGCTGCAGTGAATGGGTAAACCACAGGGTGGGGGTGGGAAGCCACGAGGGATGGGGAGAGTCCTTC